TGGGTATTATGCTGGCATGCAGTTGCCTGACTTGGAAACGCACACTCAACCGCTCTGAACACGGGTCTTCGGCACCGTATCTACCCCATGTTGCAGTGTTCTCCCGTCAGTTTCTTCCTATGCGCCCTGAGTACAGCCGCGGGTCTATACCGTAGACGATAACAGCAGGCACAGCTGGCATCCGAAGTCCCGTCTCCAGCAGGACCCACACGCAGCGCACGCGACAACTCCAACTCTGTAGCACTGATGCTACAGATGGGAAGCACACGGGTGTGGGGGTGCTCCATAGAGTGGTGCAGCTAGCTCTCAATCCTCCTCATGCGGCCTGAGGTTGCGAGGATGCAGCCCGCCTGACCAGTTAGCGACTAGCAGCCCCAGCAGCCCATGTTGTTTACAGTTCTCATGCTCGCTGGCATTTATTACGAACCTAGAACGCCGGATTGGCTGAAACATCACTGGCTGCTCTCAAGGGTAATGTCACGGGCTGGAGGTGAACCCACGTTGGGATGCTCCGTGGGTCACCTCACCAGGAAATTGAAGTTCAGCCAAACTACTCAGGGTCATTCAGAAGTGGTAGGCTACAGATTGCAGTATACAGCAGGCGTTGACTTTCCGTTAGTGAACGCGAAAGCAATCTGTGCAAGCTTACGAGCTAGAAGCGAACCAAGGGCCATGTGGCCGGCAGTGGCCTCGGCGCCGGCAGCGCCATCTGAAGCTAGCCCACCAAGCCTTGTGATCGGCATTGACTTTGGCACGCACGCTTCCGGCTTCGCCTTCCGAAAGACCACCAACACGGCTGGCGCGGGCGGTTCGGCGTCGCTGCGTGTTTCCACGCACGACCGCTGGCCCGACCAGCCGACTGCGGATGCCAAGACGCGAACGGCGCTGCTCTACAGGGGCAGTCGTGTGGTACGTGCGTTCCTGGTATAGCCCAGTGACCCGTGGGTCGCGACTGATGACATTGCGTTCGTAGGGCAAACCGCTTGCTGCAACCTTCGCCAAACCCTTCGTAACACCTTCAATGGGAATTGGGCCCTGGTCTAGAAACGTCCACCCTGCTGCTGTCTTTCCCTGCTTCCTCTTCGTCTCCCTACCTTAGGAGGCTTGGGGTTGGAGTGCCTGGAGGCGCTGGTCGGAGCTGTCGTCCTCCGATCGCGCCGCCCAGCGCTACAGCTACGTGGAGAACTTCAAGCTGCTGCTGGAGGAGGGCGCGGCGGAGGAGGTGGACACGGTGTGCCCCCTGCCGCCCGGGGTCACACGGGTGCAGGCGGTGGCGGACTACTTGACTGAGATGCGCAAGTAAGGCATGTGATGTTGTGGACGGCGTATGACTGCTTTCGAGGTACCTTACGTGCGTGGCAGGCAGGCGGGCGCGCAGGCAGGCAGGCAGGCGGGCGTGTGCGTGGCAGGGGATGTATACGTGGGGTTTTGAACTACCATGTCTGGTTTACGGCATGTGGGATGGCAACAACATGACAGCACTTGACCAGATGAGCATGCATGTGCCGGAATTGCTGACATTACCGTTAATGCACGCCCACGCAGGTACATCCGCGAGCACCTGCGCCGCAGCGCCGGTCTGACCCTGGCCTCCGACGACGTGGTGTGGTGCCTCACCCTGCCGGCCATCTGGAGCGATGCGGCCAAGGCCAGGATGCGGGAGGCGGCACACCGAGCGGGTACGTATGTTTTTAGCTGGCGAAAGGCTCAAGCTGTACCATCAACGGGTACCGGTATGCACAAGCGGCATGCTAAGGGTTGTGGCTACCGGTATGTTGTTATGGGGCCTCCCAGACATTGTCAATTCGCACGATAGCCTGCGACGCGTCATGGCAACAGTACACCTGCCTGAAGTTACTTCCTGCACCCCGCCGATCCTTCTCACAATAGCGCTGGCGGCTCTCTTCCCTCTCCATCCCACGTAAGCCATCTCCCTCTCCCTACTCCACAGGCCTCACCGTCCGCGTGGACTCCCGTTCGCTGCTGCTGACGCTGGAGCCCGAGGCGGCGGCGCTGTCGGCCGTCATGACGGGGCAGGAGGCGGGGCAGCCGGGGGCTGCGCTGCATGAGGTGGGCGGCGGCAGTGAAACGCTGCGGGACGGCGATGTCGTACTGGTTCTGGATTGCGGCGGCGGTACGGCAGATGCCACACTGCATCGGGTGAGGGGCTCTGGGTCGGCAGCGAGACTGGAGGAGGCGGCGATCGGTCGAGGTAAGCTGGGGTTGGGTCGGAGCGGGACGGCTGCTAGCTCGCACCTTCGGGCGGTATCCCTTCAAGCTAGAGATGCAATTTACAGAGCAGAGGCGCTCTGAGTTGCTGTTGGGTTCCTAGTGCTGTCAATGTGTGTAGCGGAGGGGGCCTTGGCAACAAACGCTTCCAGTCTTAAGTTAAAGCGCGCATGTACTGCTGAGCCCTGTCTTTGCTGGCGCTCCTCCGCAATGGCATGGGCTCCTCCTCCCTGCCATGCGGTGCCATGCATCGTGAACCAACCCATATATGCCCTGCCGCTCCTGCTGCTGGCCTTTCGTTACTTTGACGCCCTTACCAATCCCTGCCTTGTTGCTCTTGCTAATGCTTTGTCACCGAACCCGACGCATGGCCCACCATCTGCTGGCCGTGCTGCTGCCAGGCGCCCTGGCCGGCGGTGCACACGTTGACTGTGCCGCCTGGCGCTACCTGCGTGAGCTGCTGGGGGCGCATGCGTGGGACAGCTGGAGGGAGGACTGCCCCGGGGAGGAGGTCAAGCTCAAGACAAAGTAAGGGCGCTGCTTGGGGCGTACCGGTAGTCGATTCTTGATACCGTCAACTGCGTTGCAAGTACGTGTATCTAGGGGGCCATGCCGCATACGCGCTGCTCATCTGACGAGTGAGACGCCGATTACTCCGTTGCCACCCTGCCTTCCCCTCACCTCATGCAGGTGGGAGCTCAGCAAGCGCTCCTACCTGCTTGACAGCCCTCAGGGCCCGCCTGCCGGCCCCACCTTCGCCTCCTCCCTGGCGGCCAGTGGCCTGCTGTCGGGGCTGGTCCGGGTGGCGGGGGTGCAGCGCAACGACATCCGCCTGCCGCTGCCGGAGGGGCTGATTAAGAGGGTCGGACTGTACACTCTGCGGGTGAGTGCTGCATGGGCGGGTAGGCGGGTACTGGGGCGGGTGGGCGGGTACTCATGCATAACATGAAAGCTATGTGGTTCGGGTTTACGGACACCATCGCCTACCCAGCCAGCAATGCGTTAACCCCGTCACGTGCTGCGTTAAACCCGTCCATTGCTTATGCACGCGGGGCCTTAACCCGTCGCCGCGCTGGAAGTGAGATCAACGAAGCGCGCATGCTTCTTGGAACGTGCATGGCGACTGCCAGGTCCTCCTGTACCCGATACCGGTATTCCTCAGCGATTTGCCTCCTTCCGCAGACCCTCTCCTATCCCCGCACCGACGGCGGCTGGGTGGCCCCCGACCGGGCGGTAGTGCTGCCGTCGGAGGTGGTGGCGGAAGAGATATTCGGCCCCGTGGTGGACAAGGTGGTGCAGCTGATGCGGGACGTGACAGCCGACGGCAGACGACTGGGCAACCGCTGCAACAAGGTGTGCAGGCCAAACGGCGCTTGGGTACTGCAAAGGGGTTATGTACTGCGTCTTGAATTGAAGTGATTTGTGTCTGTTGTACGTGAGATCTCGCGTTACCACTGCTGCTGCTTCCTTGGCTCTCCACGCAGGTCCTGCTTGCTGGAGGCTTCGCGCGCTCCCCCTACCTCCAGAGCCGTGTCAGCGAGGCGCTGCCGGAGGAGGCCGCCCTGCTCATTCCCGCCGACCCGGGTGCCGCTGTGGTGACGGGTAAGTCAGGCGGTCAGGGTTGTCAGGTCCGGCGAAGGCGCATAGGCCACGAGGCAGCCAAGCTATTTATGGCTATTTATATAGCATAAGCCTTTGAGCTATTATATCGCATGAAGAAACCATGTTGTAACGCCTCTGCGTGGCTCCCATGGTTGTTTTGTTTGTTTACTCTGTGCAGGCGCTGTGCTGTACGGATCCATGCCGTACATGGTTTCGGCCCGCCGCTGCCGCGTTGGGTACGGGATCGCCACCAACCACCTCTGGACCAGCAGCGACGCCGTCCACGCCGCGAAGTACGGTTACCCAAGAAGGTTCTATCACATCGAGAAACATCAGTTCTACGCACGTAAGTGGCCCTAAAACCTTGTCAGCCCCGGTGGTACAGTGAAATGGCGTGTCTACACACTACCCCGGGTACCTGCAGGCGATGTCTACAAGCGTTTCGTTGAGCCCGGTCAGCTGGTGCGCACTGACGAGGTCGTCACGCACTCTTTCACCCCCATGTACCGGTAAGGCGTGTAGGCAAGTACCGAAGTACGTAACATGAGTCTACCTAAGCACGACGCTGTGTCCCTGACAGGACGCAAACATCAGTCTCGTTCGAGATGCACTCCACAAAAAACATCTCGCAAGAATACGTGATGTCTCCAGATACGGAGCGCCGGGCGGAAGTGGACCTTCAGTTGCCGCCGGGATGGGCCAACGGCGTCGACGGGGCGAATTACAGCCTCCAGGTGCTGACGCTGCTAGGCAGCACATGCCTTGCATGCGTTCTCCCGTTACTTCCTGAATAGGAGCAGCAATGCAGTATAGCATGGTGGCGAAGGGTTGCACGATATGCAGAAATCGCCCGGTATTGCATGTTCAGCCCTATTACGCCTCCCGCTTGCAGGCCGAGATGCGGTTCGGCGCGACGGAGCTGACGATGGTAGCGTCCGACCCGCGGACCAAGAACGCAGTGGCCACCGTCATTCGGTGGGATGCTGATATGGCGTAAGCGAGCAGTGTATCATGCGCTGATAGCGAGGATGGACCGGCCTCAGTTTGATGGGTTTTTCCATGCGGCGAGGAGTATCGTCAGATGAAGGGGATAGCATGGCGTGTTAAGCGACGTAGTGCATAAGCCATTGGACGATTGGATCTAGGCATTCACTCCCCCCCATTGAAGATTGGGTGTCGGTATTCGTACACGTTTCCAGAGCTAACACGTAGTATACCCGGAGTACGATCCAGGATTTTACAAGGTGTACTCGGTTTATGGGTTGTTATGTACGAGCGTACAGGCTCAAAAGTATTTGAGGGATCGTCACGGTCACTAATGTCTGTTAACCGTATTAAACCAGATTGTTGGGGCTGCTCTTTTCCAGCGCCCCCCGCATTACTGCCCATGATATAGAGTCTCCCACGCTTTCAGAGCAAGGGCGCCTTGTATTCGGCGGTCATTATGCACCGGTTGGCGAACCTTGATCGCGTTGGCACGTGCTTCTCACTAAACCTGGCCTTAACCCCAGTGAGACAGTCCTGTACGATATAAAGGGGTTTGCAAGCCTAACCCGCTCATGTAAAGCGCACCTGTCCAGTGCTTGGCTGGCAGCACCCGTATTACATACTATGAACATACATTGCCCAAAATCAGCGGCATAAGCCGCCCAACATTCATTTCCTCCACGCCACCGCCTCCATCCGCCTCTGCTCGGCAATCCGCATCTCTCAGTACCGCCCACCCCTACGCGACCTCACATCCCCCTCATCATCATCCTCGCCTCCATCCAGCACGCTGCCCAGCTCCTCCTGCTGCTGCCGCAGCACCTCCTGCGTGCCCTGCAGCTCCGCAGCCAGCGCCGACAGCTGCTCCCGCAGACCCGCAATCACCTCGTCCTTGCGAGCAAGGGCGGCGCGCACACGCGTCTCAACAGCCGCCATCTCAGCGCTGTGGCGGGAGCGCTGGTCTTGGGTCTCCTGCAGACAGCATACGGTATATTAGTTGACATGGATGTGCAGGCACGGGCTATTGTGGCGGGCGTTTTGGCGGGGGACGACCCATGGGTCAGTGGCGACTGAAGTAGCCGCCATGAGTCTTGAGTTATCCTTAGCACCAAGCCACGCGATCCCACCCTGCCCACCTGCAGGGCCTGAGCCAGCCGCGCCTCCACCAGCTCCTTCTCTCGTGTCACCGCCGCAGTCGCCTCGGCAGCCACCGCCGCCTTCTCGGCGCCCAGGGAGCGCACGTCGCGCTCGCGAGCAGCGGCCTCCTCCTTGGCGGCGCTCACCTGGGACACACGTACCGGTACAGGAGCAGGAAGAAGAAGGGAAGGAAAGGGAAGAGAAGTGAGGTGGGCATGTAGCGGCTTAGAGAGGTCAGCATGGATGTCGGTACCGTGAGCACGGAGGCGGCATCTTTCATAATACCCCTCCCTTGTGTTGTCCCGCTGCACCGCTGGGGATGTACGGCTGTGCTGCCCAGGTCAGCACCGCCAGCTCCCCCCCCGCACCTGTGACTCTAGCCAGCGGATGGTGTTGCTGCGCGACTCCAGCTCCCGTCGCAGCTCCTGCACCGTCAGCTCGCTGGCCGCAAGCCGCTCCTCTGCAGCCTGCATGGGTAGGAGAGGAAGGGGCCGAAACGGAGGAACGGCTCAAGGCTTTCATGCCGGCAATGAGGGGAGCTAGCAGGATCACGGCTTCCATGATCTCCCCCAGCCCACCTGCGACGCCACCCCTGCCGTACGGAAACGCTCCGCCATCTTGGCCTCCGCTCGGCGAGCCTCCTTGAGCGCAGCCGCCGCCTTGGCTGCCGCCGCCTCCTCGCGCTTGCGGAAGTCCTCCTTCAGCGCCTCCGCCGCAGAAGCGTGCTCCGCCTCGAGCCGCGTCATCACCGCCTGCCATGCAGGACACATACCAGTAATGGTGCAATTACCGGTAGTCTTGTGTGAGGGGCGGACGGTATGCATGCATCTCAAGCAACGGCCCCATGCTAGTCCCGTACAAGCTGCCAGGGCCGCAGCAATTACCGGTAACTCCACACACCCCTTCACCGTGCACCCCTCTGCTTCCCTCCCTCACCTGCACCTCCTCGTTCCGCTCCTGCAGCAGCTTCTCCCGGATGGCCGCCACTCGCTCCGTCACCTCCTTGCGCGCGCGCTCAGCCATGGCGGCCCGCCAGCCCTCCTGGCCCGTCTCGTACTGCTCGCGGAGGGACTCGATCTGCCGGTTGCGGTAAGGCGCAGAATGTCACGGGATGCGATAGGCAAGCAACAGATGCGGCATCAAGGAAATGGCGAAGTGGTCATCACGCCTCCACGGATGTAGCCTAGGGCTAGCGTCATGCCTCATGCGTGCTATTGCATGTGAGCGGGAGCAACGCACCTGCTTGTCGTGCGCCTTCCGCAGCGCCTCCTTCTCTCGCTTCCAGTCCTCCTCCGCCTCACGTTGCCGCGTCTCTCCCGCCTCCTTGGCTGTCGCCACCGCCTCCTCGTACCGCTTCTTATCCTCTTTCCTGCGGAGTGGTGGTGTCGCATGCCGGTGGGAGCTTTGAGTGACCCTGCTACTGCTGTTATTCCATAAGTAGCCCTTGCGATTGCACCCTAGCACACTGCTCAGCCTTTGCACCGCCCGTTGCATGGCCCGTTCCCCAGCAGCACAGCGCTCATACATCCCCCGTACCTGGCCTGCTCAAGCTGCTCTAGCCGCAGGTCCGCATCAGCCACGAGCCGCATGCGCTGGGTCTGTGGACAGACAAGTCAGCAAGAGGTTCAGTGGGATAATGTACATGCGGAAAGCCACAGCAGGGTAGTAGAGTAGTAGGTAGTGTGGTAGGTTCCAGACCCCACAGCGAACCCACCCACCCACCTGCAGCTGCTGCTCGTACCGCTCGCTGACCTCCCGGAGCCGGGTGGCCGCAGCGGACCGCTCCTTCTCCACCGCCTCCTCCAGCTCACGTGCCATGCGCTCTTTGAGCTGCGCAAGCCAGCGAGGAAAGAAAGCCTCTTAGTTAATTTAACCCCAAAGGCCCCCAACCGGAAGTCCCGTGCCACCGCTGTAACCCGTAACACAGCAACGCACCGCAGCCCAAGCCACCCATGGCAACATCACAGCAAGCTACGGCCTCGCATACCGTAGCTCCCCACCTGCCGCACTGCCACCTCGTTCTGCGCCACGTAGCTGTCAAGGTGCCGTCGCGCCTCATCCGCCGCCGCCTGCTGCGCCGCCGCCAGCTCAGCCTTGTGCCGCGCTAGCAGCTTCTGGACCTGAGGACTCCCAAACCAGAAAGCAGGCAGGTTAGCATGAGGCGCTCATGACGTGCGATACGGACGCCTGCACCCCCGAGCAGCCCCACACACAGCGCATGCCGTACCTCGCCTTCCAGCCCCTTGACGGTCACGTCCTTGATCTCCGCTGCCTTGGATGCCATCCAAGCCTCCCGCCGCTGCTTCTCCGCCGCCGCCCAGGCCTCCTTCTGCCGCCGCAGCTCCACCGCCCAGCCCTCCTTGAGCTTACCGATGGCCCGCTCCTGTCGCTCCTCGGCACCCTGGGCGGAAACGGCGTCACGGGAGCGTCGAACACTACAATGCATGCACATGCACTCATGCCCCAGATCTTCAAGGACAGGGTTTGCGACTTAACCCAGACACCAAGAAACTCTCTTGAAGAAACAGCCTAGGCATCCATTAACCAGGAACCATCATTCATCATGCCCTCGCCCCACAGCCCCAACCCCTCCTCCTCTCCCTCTCTCGCACCTTGAGCTGCTCTGCGAGCTGCTCCGCCCGGCCCGCCAGCGCCTCCTTGTCCGCCAGCAGCCGGTCCACGAAGGCCAGGTGGCGCGACACCGCCGCCTCGTACTCGGCCCGCTGCGCCGCCAGCAGCTCCGACAGCCGCGCATCCGCCTCCAGTAGGCAGGTGCGCTGAGCCGCCTGCAGGGACTCCACTTCCTGCGGGTGACGGGCAGGAGGAGGGAGGTGAGGAGGAAGAAGGTGAGGAAGGGTGAGGGTGGCGGCGGAACCGGAGGCTAGTGAGGGATGCGTGCCAACTTGCCAAGCAAGCAGGATGCACGTCAGTGGAAAGAGCGATGGCAAGTAGCGTGTCATCTGCTCGTGGCCCACAACGCACCTGTGTCAGCTCCGAGACGCGTGCGTCGCGCTGCCGTACCTCGTCCTACAAGCAAGGAACGGACGGCCCAAGTAAGGACGGGTATTGACCTGGAGAGAGGGGCTACTGGAGAGAGGGGCTGCGACCTTCTCCGTTACCTGTAGCCTCCGGATTTTGACGCGCACGCTCTCGTACACCGACTCGGCCAGGAAAGCGGGCCTGCAGGTACATAACGGCGGCGGGGTCATGGTTGCTGGCGATTGAAGGTAAAAATAGGCCCAAGTATCCAGCTCAAAAGCAGTTTTGGGTGTGTCTGCTAGAACGCGCCCGCACCCATGCCGTATCATGCCTACCTGCCGTTCAGCCCTGATGCCGCGCTGAAGCCGCCCACGGAGGCTGCGCCATCATCGTCGAAGTCCCCATCCTCGTCTCGGTCGTTGTCAAGCCCCGACTCAGCTCCGTCCGCCAGAGACGGGCTGCATGCACGGCGGTGCCCCGACCGAGGCCTAGAACGGCCCACGGCGGCAGCCTCACTCAAGGCAGCAACCGACTTCTGCATGCATGCAGGGGATGGAAAGGAGGATAGGTTGAGCCTGATGAGGAACCGCAGTCACGCGCTATCGGGCTGTGCATGTTCCCACCCACCTGCAGCCCAGGATGCAAACTGCCTGTCGCCGCAGTACCAGGCCGGGACGTTGACGTGACCCTGCGGCCAGAGGAGGCGGTGGCTGGTCGGCGACCGCCGCCTGCGCTACCAGGGCTGTGGCTGCGGCTGTGTGCGTGGCCAACGCCGCTGCTGGTCCCCGGCAGGAGCGCGGCGGCGAGGGCGGCGGCGGTGGAGGTCTCTCGCATGAGCAGGGCGGGCGCCACGGCCGCGCATGTGGCTTCCTGCTCGGCCTGTGGAACGATAGCAGGAAACCATGGATTAGCTTAAGGCATTGCATAGTAATGCATGCAGAATGGGAGCATACATGATGTTCATGCGTCATGGACACCATAGTCGAGCCCCGAGTCCTCTTCCCAGCATCACCACACCTGCATCTCCACTTCATCCAGGTACTTCAGGATGGAGGTCATCTTCTCAGCGGTCAAGCTGTCGTCCACAGGAATCACAGACATGGTGGCCTTCCCACCAGCCTGGTACGAGGGGGCGGGAGGTGCGCCCTGCGCTGGAGCCGCGTGGCCCTTGGTTACGAGCTGGCTGCTGCCCTCGCCTCGGCGCCGACCAGCGTCCGGATCCGGATCCGGACGGAATCCTGCAGGAGGAGTCAGGGCAGGTGTGGGGTCTAGTAGGGCACCGTCACGCCTGTCAGCTGCCCCGCCGCCTGCCGTACGACGAGTACTGCCAACGGGCGCAGGCTCCTGCTCCCGGCGGTGCTGCTCCAGGGGCTGCTGTGAGGCCCCACCGGCACTCGTATCAGGCCACGCTGCAGTAGTCCGCCGGCGCTGCGGGTCCGGCTGTAGCGCCTGATCCGTAGGGCAGTGCCGCCGGGAGTCATCTGCATCGTCGCGTGGTTGCTGTACGGAGTAGCTGCGCTGTAGCGGTACGGCAGCGTTGCTCTCAGCGGCAGCTCCAATGGCGGCAGCAGCGCTACAGGGACGGCTATGACGCGGGGCAGTCGCATGATCGCCTTGCACCCTGCAGGGCGGGGCGCCGACAGCCACGCCAGAGTCGCTTTCTCCGCAGCTCTCATTACCAGATGCGGCGGCGCCGGCGTCACTCCCACCTCTCGATGGGTGACGGCGGGGATCGTAACCCTCAAGCTGTTGCCGTGTTTCAGGCAGGCGCTGCGGCCTGGCGTCCCCCCGCTGCTGCGCTGCGGCGTCGTGCTCGTTGGCTTCTCGTGAGGCTGGTGGAGGAGCAGAGGGCTGAGGGCGGAGGTCCTGCTCGCTTGAGCTCATCAAGCGGCGGAAGCGCTCTTGCCGTTCCCGCTGTAGCGGCGACGGCGGCTCGGCGGATGGCCGGTGGGGCTGTCTGCGGGCTTCCTCAGGAGCCCGCATGGCTGCATGCAGGGGCTCCCGCTCTTCCCGATCTAACCGCTCTTCCCGATACCGCGGTGCGTCCTGCTGAGGCAGCTCCTCACGTTGATCGCGAGGGCGGAGTGGCTGGGCAGAAGGTTGGTGGTTTGTAGGTTGCTCCAAGCCCGACGGTTTCAGCCGGGTCCTGTCCGAGCCCGCCCTGTCATCGCCCCGTTGCTGATCCAGCTGCTGTTGTGATGCTGGACGACTGTCATTGCGATCTCGCCCCTCCTGCCGCGGCATGAGCTCCTCAGGCCGCTGCTGGCGCCTGTGCTGCTGCTGAACCTGCTCCAGGTCCCGGACTTGCTGCTCCCGGCCCTGCCCTGCATCGGACCCACCACGTCTCCGACCAACGGCGGCCCCCTCGGCGCTGTCAGCTGCAAGACGAACGTCGTTCAAGACACTCCTGCTGCTTCCGTCGGCGCTGGAGCTGCCGGCTCTTTGGCTTCCCTGGAGCTTCAGCCGCTGTAGGGCTTCCATGCGTGCCTGACGCTGCGGGCTGGGCGGCATGAGCTGCGGCTGGCTGGATGGCCGGCACTGGGTAGCGGATGCAGCAGCGCCCTGCGTGTCGTCTGTGTTACGGAGCTGCGGTTGCACCCGCTGCTCCTGCCCGCTGTTGCTGGCCTGCTGCTGCGGCACAACACCCTGCTCCGCCGGCCTCTTTTCCTGGCGCTGCTGTTGCTGCGGGCGATCCAGGGATCCCTGCTCAGGCAGCCGCCGCTGCCGCTGGCCGTCGTTCTGCGCTGGATTGTCTTCCATGGCAGTTCGCATCGCGGCTTCTAGATCACCACGGCGGCTGGGTTCGGGCCTGGGGCGTGAGTCGGCCTCAAGCGGCGACTGCGCCGCAGGGGCATTGCCAGGACCCCCACGCTCCACCGCGTCTCCTCCATTGCCGGTTATAGCGGAAAGGGCTGGGGAAGCCATCGCCGGATTGGCATCCGCATCCAAGGAGGGCTGTTGCGACAGTGTTTGCCGCCTTGAACCCGGCACCTGTGCCTCGCCGGCACCGCTGGTACGTCGGCTGCTGCGGTCTGAGGAGGCGGCGTCAAGGGTAGCAGCCTCCGGCTGCGCATCCGGAGCCGCGACGGGTGCAACATGCTGCTGCGGCAAGGAGGGGATTACTGTACGTGAAGTGGCAGCCATTGGGGCTCCTTGAGCTCCGCCACCATCGCTTGTTGCAAGCTCCTCCTCGGTCTCTGCGGCCGTGGCCTCCCGTGGGGGTGGTGTGACGACAAAGGTGTACACAGCGTGACCGCCGGCATGCTTCTTCTGGGGTTGGACGTGTTGCTGGGAGGGACAAGAGCAACGGGAAACAACGGGATTCAAGAACAGCTACAAAATGGGCACAGCGGTATATGCGGTATAGCACCACATCGCAGTCAAGGCATCCGCACACGTGGCAAACCCAGCGGCCATGCTTGCTAGGTGGCTTCTGCTGTCGTACCTTATGCAAGTCTCGGTCTGCCTCTTGTCCGCGTAGCTCCCCATCGTCCAGGAAGTCTCCTACATCTTCGCAGCTGTCTTCATACCCCGCATGGCTGCGCCCCTTCCGGTCGGACGTTCGCTGCGGCTCGCGCTGCACACGGGTCTGTGAGCTGGCAACAGGCCCTCCCGTGCGAGGTCGTGCGGGGATGACCACCCCCGGCGACGCAGGAGGCCCAACCGCTGAAGCGGGGCGCGCCTTGCCGGCCCGGCTGCTCGCGGCGGCAGGGGCATCGTTGCCACGGGCACACTGGGGGACTGGGTTCTGCCGCTGCGCGGAGCTTGCGACAGGGCGTGCCACACCTTCTCCCTCTCGGTGACGCCCAGCCTCTGTCGCTGCTGCTACGGCGGGCAGTGTCGCCAGGTCAACCTGGTTCCCCTGGTCTGTGTCATCCAGGGCGCTGCTGCTGGATCCTGCGGCCCCGCTGTTCCCCAGCAGCAGCTTCAGACTGAGCCCCGAGTCGTCCTCCAGCAGCTGTCGCAGGATGCGTTCCTCGGCCTCGCGACGGAGCTGCGGAAGGTCAGGACCCGCGTGGGGAGCTTGTAAGAGTCGTACGGTAACAAGCTAGCATCAACCCAAGCAATGCCCTTACGGAAAGGTTCATGGGCGATTGAGTAATCGTCAGCCCACGCTAAAGGAACCCACCCATATGCACCCCATGCATCCCATTAAGGTACCTTTGCCTTCCATGACTGCCAGCGGCGCCAGTGTGCCTGAATCACCCGCGCCGCCACCTCCCTCTTGAACAGGTTATACGCCTCCTCCGTCAAAGACCCTCCTGACGCAGCCACAGCGGTCACGCCGTCGCTGCTTAGGCCGCCAGACGAGCCACGAGCTGAGGGAATTGCGGCGGCGTCGCCAGTGCTCCTGCAGGCGGCAACAACTGCGTCCCGAGCGTTCGCTGCTGCCATCCTGGTCAGCCGGTGCCCAGGCGCTGCTGCTGCTGGGGTCTCACAAGTCTGCTTGTGGCGTGTTGGAGACTGGTCGGCGCTGCTAGCTGCCACATCGTCGTCTGCAAGGCCAGGAGCAGCCGCGTGGCGGAGGGGCGATCCTCGGCTGCCCCACTGCTGGGCCAGGAACTGCGGCCAGCCAGCTGCGCCACTCGCTGCTTGCTGCGGATCATGCTGTGAGACCTCCCTGCGGACTTCCCGGTGCTTGTCCCCGGCAGCATCGTCAGGGTCGTCGAGCGAAGCAGCATGTGGTTCGACAGGAGCCTGCAATTGCATGGGATAGGCGTAGGGTGGGGTGCGCGCGACACAAGCGCTGTTAAGTGGTCACTTGCGGTACAATATGGTGGATGAGGACAGGAATTCAGACAATCGGCCGTACCCTTGACACCTAAACCCAGTCACGTGCATACCTGGTTGTATCCGTGCCGGCTTTGTTGCTGCTGGCGCCTTTGCTGCATGTACGACCGCACTTCGTCCCTGGCGATCTGCGCAAGCAAGGCTTAGGCTGGGGTTACAATCCACAGCAGTTTGGAAGCCTTTTGTCCGCCCTCACACACCTGCGCCCGTGTCTGGGCCTGCTTAGGGCTGTCAAATCCATCGACGTCGCCCGAAGTGTCCTTAGCATTAAGCTGTTCGTACTGCCTGCCAACGCTTGCTAGCTTGTCGGCACCTGTCCGACCCCGGCGGGCGGAGTCAAGGCGCCCAGGACCCGAGGGACTTGCCGGGACACCCGGCAAGGGGTCAACTCTGCAGCACAGAGAACCATAGAGCGGTGTTATACGGCACGATGGTATAGCAGCTGCTAGCAACTCGCACCTATTCCGCCTAGAAGGCGACATTGGCACGGAAGTCGTAATCGATTTCCGTGGAGGGAAGTGAGGCAACTTGGGAGCACCGAGCTTACTACCTCCATTTTCTGCAAACAATGTGGATTCAGTCAGCTGTGCGAGTAGACTATGACCCAGGGCCTGATTCTGACCTTGCTGCTTTCCGCTCATGTTGGATGTTGACGGCCGGGATTCTTGCTTGCTTTTTTGGCAATTTAACTCTGCATAGTTGTCATACTAAGCACGAAACCTAAAGCGAGAGTCTACGTCTTCGGCAAGCACCGTCCAACTAACAGACCAGCTTTTATCCAAAGCTGCCTACGGCCCTATCCGCCAAAGTGGTCATCTGGGTTAACTGTAAGCATGCCTTATTGCTGAAATCTAACAAGTTCGCGAAGAGCAGTGCTTAGTTATCGGTCACCGTTTCGAACCGACAGCTGGCTAGCTTTACAGCAAGCTATGAAGCGAAATAAGGCTAATAAAGTAGTATGTACCAAAATATGTTACGGTAGTATGATAGCTGCCGTCCTCTTGCTGACGGGAAATTAGTTGGCGTCATGCAGGGTACGGAAGCCCAGGTTCCGCTAAGAGAGACAAGAACTTGTCCTTAAAGGTAGACTGCAGCTGACTGCAGCATACTTTTTGTTCAGGGCTGAGTTGCGGTCCTGCTGCTGTGCGGTGGACTGCTAGCAGCTAGGACACTAGCTAACTGCCGTGTCTACGCCGTGTCTATCTTCCTTACACATCCATCACGCGTAGCTTGTCCAATGTTCAACATATCTGCAACTCTCTATCCATTTCGAACCCTGTAAGCTGTACGCAAAGTGCAGGCCGCATGTCACCTCGACAGCCCTATACATCTGTTACAGCAGCAACCCCGAGACGCTCTGCCTTTCATAGGGACAAACTGCACAACTATCAATTCCTACCTCCAATCCCACGCACCGCACGGCATCGTCTTACAAATCCGCAGTTATCCATACTGCGCCGTTTGTTATTCATGCGGTCACTGGCTCATTGGCTCATTGGCTAAGTTTGTGGGTGGCCTGTGCTAACAGCTAGGACCCATGGTTCAGATCATGTACCCAGACACATGATCCCCTGCTATGACGCATTGGTAAGGGCTGGGTGCTCAGGCTTTCACAATCTGTGCATGTGAGGCTGGCAGCTTAAGCTGGACGAAGGCGCGGAGTGGGATCCTGGGGAAACGCTTGCGTTCAAAGCGCTACCTCTCCTGAACAGCTTTCAAGGCCGCCCGAAACGAAACCGCTCGCTGTGAGCAGCCATTAGGAGCCGTAGCAACTTGCCATTCAATTCATGATAACTGTATGAGGATTGCTAAGGCCCAACGCCTCAGGAGGAAGGCACTTACGAACGGCGATGACTCAATCCGTCCGGCAACTGCTTCCTTTGCTTTCATCCCCCCTTCTTGATACTCGATTACATTTTCCAGTAGCTCCTTGTCCTCTTCTAGTAAATCCTTTCGCATCTTAGCTTCATCTACGAGCACTCCGCATCTATATACTCTCTCCGCAACACAAATGGCCAGCAAGGAAGGCCCGCGCACCATCGGCGGCAAGCACATCGGCCTCGCAGGCAGCAATCCCGAGGTAGGCGGCCTGGGCGCCGGAGAGCTGGATTTGGGCGGCGGCGCGGGTCGTGCCGACATCGCTCCGCCCGGCGGCGCTGACGTGGATGTGGCGGGCGGTCACGGCGGCACTCGTACCGGCGGCGGAGTGGGCGGCGGCACGACCGGCGGCAGCGCGGGTGAAGGCGCCCGGCCCGCGGCGGCTGTCGTGCACTCCACGGAGGCGAAGAGGAAGAGCGATTAGGCAATGTGTGTGATGCGTTGGGAGCAGAGACGTGGTAGGCGGGATAGGCTTGTGAAGGAGGAGGTATGGGGCAAATGGCGAAACCGCGCGGCTCGGGAGGTGGTGGGGACCAGGCGTGCAGGAGGACTCAGGACGTGCGCTGCTAGTCATCACGTGTATGTGGTTTGAGTTGAAAGGCAGCGGCCCAGGTGTTGGATGTTGACCGACCCATGGGACGGGGGACCGCTTAAGGCATTTCCATTGCAGTACGCTGCTGCCACCGCCGTATGTGCCGCGCCTTTTCTCGACAACTGAGGCTTAGGAAGATGAGGCTGCATTACTGGTGTTGTCACGTGCGAATGGAGGTGCGCATGAGGAGGCTCAGGACGGCAGTATGTGGGTGAGTCTGTGCTGTCGTTCGTACACGACTGACCTCCGCACGATCTTCCAAAGGCAATGCCAACCAGTTGTTGTTGTAACCCGCGTTGATTCATAAGATGGGAATGAACGTTGCTATACTTGCGTATAGCAAAATGGACGCGTTTACCTTCTGCGGCCCTTGGTTCACACGCCCTGGACCTCGATCATCGCAATCCCCTGTCTGTAAGTATGCACCAGCTCAGCATGCCTCTCATTGCTAACGCGCGACAGCACCCCAATACACCATACATCAGGCAAGCTAGCCAGCCTGTTTCAAAACGCCCGGCTGCTGCAGCTGCTCTCAGCACCACTCTCCATGCAACACGGCAATCAGCTCTCACCACGCCACAGCAGCAACACGTCTCTGCATGCATGCACCCTCGCAGCAGCACAACAGCTATAACCCAAACAACTCCGCCACATCGCACAACGCAAACCCCTCAGACCCCGCTGCAGCCATCCACCCCCCACCGCTCGCCTCCAACTCCGGTTCCAACCCCAACTCCGACCCCGCACCCGCCAGCCCCGCCCTCCCCCCCCACACGCACAACATGCATCCCGCCGGTGTCGCCGGGGGTGCTGCGGCGCTGGCTGCGTCAGCAACCCGCCAGGTGCCCAGCTCCCCGCCTCCGCCGTACTGCAGCAACCGCCCCCGCGGCGGCACCGTCACCGCCGCGAGACGGTTGCCGTACGACAACGGGAACCAGAGCTCCAGGGTTTGGCGTCGCGGCGCGTACATGGCTAGCAGCAACACGTATTCCTCGTCTTCGTGTTGTTGCGAGAAGCCGTCTTGCGGAGGAGAGTCCTTGTGGTGGTGATGGTCGTTGCGGTCTCGGGGACAGTCAGCTGGATGCTTCTGGTGTTGTTGTTGTTGTTGTTGTTGTTGTCGTTGCATGAAGCGAGCTACACGGCTGGAAGGCACCTCCAGCCAGCCTACTTGCGCATCTCGATAGCCCTGTGCAGGTGGAATGCACGACGGAGGGTCAGCACGCTGTACATGAGGCTCATTGCGGCAAGGGGCAATGGGTTAGGTAACGCCACGTAAACACCAACGCCACTTGAACCCCACCATGCTTCCTACAGTCGCCGCAAGGACCCCTCCTCTCCCCCTCCTGAACCTCCTCCTCCTCTTCACCATACGTTTCGGACTATACCGCTATCGCAGCCCTTTGCCTCCTCCGCCGCCCCTCACACATACCCGTGTCACATCACACCCCGCCCCGCACACACCTTCCACATCCTGCTGACCAGCAGTCCGCCCACCTCCACCAGCATCACCCGGCCCAGGCTGTCCACTGCCGCCACCAGCGACCCATGGGGCGCGGGGGACAGCGACAACACCGCGCGCCCGTCGTCGCGGTGCCGCCGCCACAGCCCGGTCGCCGGCGCCCGCTGCCCGGCGGCGGCGTCAGCAAAGTCGGCCAGGGGCTGAGCAGGGCTGTTGTGGCTGCTGCCAGTGGTGTGGGTGGTGAGAGCGCTGGAGGTGGCGCCTACGGCTGCTGCCGCCAGCTGGAGCGGGTTCGTCATCATGAGGTACTTGAGACCTTCGCATCAGCGTACGTCAGGGGCGCAGCACGGTATGTAGTGATGTAAATGAGGGAAAAAAGGAAAGAATGTCGAAATTTTCACGGCTCAAAAGTGCAGTCACCGGTTCAGCCAGAATCTCACACGAGCTCAATGCCGTATCAGGGAGCATGCTCACGAGCAAACAAACTACAACAAAGCCGCCGTCACAATCTCTTCTCACCGTCTCGCAGCGCCAGCGGCGCCGCCGCCACATTGCGTGCCGTACGTGCCAGCCCCAGCACGCCGCTGGAGACGCTGACGGCGACGGAGCTAATGTACGACAAAGCGCCGCCGCCACCGCCGGGCGACTGCTCGTCTACCTCGAGCGCCGCCAGACACGCGGGCCGGTCTCCGCCTGCGCGGATCATTAGTTCATTACCACCATGCACATTACCGCGGGGCAGGAGGATCCGGTTGCACATCTGGGGGAGTTCTGGCCTCTGGGGGCGGCGGCTGGGAAGGGGAACCAGCCCCTTGTGCTTCAAGACGTCAAGAAAGACGCATCAAGTACAAGACCCCTGCCATGAGAGCAAGCGCGATAGGTGTGTCCAGGGTGTCCAGGTCAACAAGCACACGGTGCCGTATAAGCCACTGCTGCACCAGGTACACACGCCCCCAGGTGGGGTTCGTAACGCACAAGCACTGGACCCCCCTCACCTGCAAGGAAGATGGTCTTGCCGGTGGCAGTTCCGGGTTGGGAGCCCATGCTCTGATGGCGATATGTAAGCACGGGGGCACACATGGGAGCACACGGGTGCACACGGGCAGATGAGGAGGTGTCACCTGTGGAGGTGTCGGCCAGGGAGACACACGCAACGCATGCAAAACACCCAACCACAGGCCGCCGCCTCGCTCTCCGCTCTCTCCCGCTCACCTCTCCCTCCCCCCTAGCCCTCACCCTTTCCCCCATCTTCCTGCCCCACCTGCAGCAGCGAGTACAGGTCCCGGGGCCGTTGCCCGCAGCACACCACACAGCTGCGGCCGCGAGCCGCCCCCGGCACCTCCCACTTCTGAGCCGACAGGGGCTTGATGTCGGGAGCGGCGGGCTGGGGCTGGGGAGGCGGTGGTGCAGCACCCCACAACAGCCCGAACCTGCGGCAGGGAAACGGGGAACACCGCAACCATCAAGCTGGCGTTAAAGGCGGTACGGAAACCATACCTGAAAGCTCCACTCTGTGCCGCCGTGCACGACTGCGGAAATCCTGCAAGGCTGCGGAAACAGGGCCTCCTCTGCTCCTTCCCAGATCTTCAACCACTCCACTGTTCACCCCCAACCGCTCACCGCATCTGGCCTCCTCCTCCTCCTGCTCCTGCTCCCCCCGCGCCTCCTCCTCCCCCTGCAGCAGCAGCAGCAGCAGCAGCCCGCGCCCTAGCCGCCGCATAGCACCCAGCCGCTGCGGTCCTCAGCTCCCATGCCGCCAGCCGCACCACAGCATCCGCCCAGCCCACCGTCACGTCCTCAACCGGGTCGTCGGGTCGAAGACCTGACGCAGCAGAGGGGGGGGAGTGGCGGTGGTGGTGGTGGTGGTGGTGGCCTGGCGGTGGGAAGAGGGGGGGCGCTCCAACAATGATAACGTGACAATCCCAAATTGCTTCCTTCAGCACAGGAGCCCTCAACCCCCGTTGCGGTCAGCTCGGTGCCCCCAACGCCCCGCACTCACCCATCCTCCACGTCCGCACGGTGATGCTCAGCACCGGCCCCGCATGCAGCTGTTGCCGCAGCAGCACCGCCCCGCTGCGTGCGTCATGCAGCTGTAGCGCCCCGCCGCGAGTGCCGGACAGCAGTACGGCAAGGCTGTAGCCGGGGTGATGGGGGGCCGAGGTGGAGGCGGCAGCAGGGGGAGTAGCTGAGAGCTGCTGCTGCCGTTGCTGCTGGTGCTGCTGTCGTTTCAGTTCGTCGTCCTCTAGCATGGCCTGGCGGGGTGAGCATAGATGGAAGGGAAACGGGGAGGAGATACCGGTAGGCAACGGGGGGAGTGTAGCCATGCACGTGTTCATTGGAGGGACCCAACATGTACCGGTACCCCTAAGCAAAGGTCCCCGCAGCTGCGTACAGGTACCTGAATGCTGGCGAACACCCCCGCGCCGCTGCCAGCGCTGTTCGTCCGGCGCCGGTAGCTGCTGCCACGACTGGCGGCCGCTGACCCAGGCGCCCTTCCACTGCTACTGTGGCCTTCGCTGGCTTCCCCTGCTCCTGCTGCTGCTGCACCCTCTGCCCCCGTCGCCGCTGCTAAGGGCGTTGCACCCGACGGCGCAGCGCCGGGCGGCCTGACGAAGGCGAGCCAGGCCAGGGCTGTGATGTCATCTGAACACGTCACCGGGGGGCCGTTCGCAGTTGGGCAGTACATGCGGGCTGGCGGGCGGTGGGGGTGCTGATGGAGGCCGCCGTCGTGGGGGCTGCTGCGGCCGCGGGGCCCAGCAGACCCATGGGTCGACCGACGGTCCGCCAGCTCCTGGGGGGGCCGATGCGGATTCCAACCCGCAGGGTTAGGGAAAGGAGGGAGGACGGGACAAAGTGTGTGAGGGAAGGGTAGCGCGGGAAGGGTCTCAGGGCAAATAGCAGGGCGTAACGGTATAGGCGATGTGGGTAAAGTGCTGTAGGCGGTAAGAAGGCTGCCCCGGGTGGCGGAGGCGCCTTGGAGTACGGCAAAGCCGGCACACAAAGTCTACTACTGTACGGCAACCGCACCTGTTGCGCATGCTCCTCGTCTTCGTCCTCTTGCTGCTGCCGCCCTAGGTGCTGTTGTGCGACATGCGGTGCTGCTGTGACTCCGCCTTCCGAGGGTGTGGACGGCCGTAGTGAGCAGATACACAACGTGGAGCCGCGGGCTGCTGCTAGGAGTGACCTGAGGGTAACGAGCAATGAGGGGAACGCCAGCTTTTTCATCACTCGAAAGAAGGATGTTGCATGGGAGCCGAATCGACGAAGTTCACAGCTTTACAGGCGTTCCCGAAGCAAACGACACAGCAAAGACATAACCCCATCCAGGCTCAGCGCCCGGGCACAGGATATGCAAACCGGACCTCCATGGCCAACCTCGGGGAACGCTTACCCGTCAGGATGCAGGCTCAACAGCAGCGAACCGTCAACGGAAGGAGCACTCCCCAACTGCAGCAGCTGCGTAAGCGACCCGGGATCCATTATACTGCTCTTCTCCGCTACCGCCCTCAGCTTTGACGATGTTGGCCCGGTAGTTGGCAACAGGTTCGCCTTGTAAGCGGCATAGCCAGAGAAAGGAACGTCTTATTCAAGCACGCTGTGGATACTAAGCGTGTATTAAGTAAAGCAAAGCTTGGAAAGCTGAACAAAGAGGGTACGGGGTGTGTTGTACGATCACGCAAGCAGAGCATGTGCTGAGCCATGTACGCAGACCAGCCCATACCAGGAACGTTACCCTTCTACAACATTTCTCCTTATCTGCCGTTGTCGCTCGCTCTTACCCTGTTAAAGAGGCCTGTGCATGTAACTACTTTCCGCGGCACTAGAAATCATGGTGAGGGCATCAGCTGCCGATTCCACCTGCTTTTTAATATAGTATCTTACGCTTTTCTATCTACTTGCAGTCGGATATCGAGTCAACCCTCACACGGATTCAAGGGCATAAGGTGAAGAAACCTCCTGGACGCTGAGTTAACCGAAGATAGAAAGCAGCCTTCCTAAGAACGTTTTCCTTCGTTTCAGGGCGTCATCGGTGTGATTATTGTCAACCACCAAGGAGTGCCGCTTCGAAGCACGTTCGAGCATGTAAGCCAAGCTGTATCTACCTTCAGCTTAACCTGGTTGCCTAATGCTGCGAGTAAAAATGCAGGACGCGATGACCAAGCAATACGCGGACTTGATACCCAGCCTTGCGGACCTGGCAAGGAACCTGGTTCGGGACCTAGACCCCCAGGTGCGGGGCCATGTCGCTTGTGTTGCCAATGCCTCTCCCCTTCCCTCCAGTTTGGGGGGTCCAGCATGCACGGCTGCGCCTTGGCTTTACCCGTTGTTTCTGTTGGTGTGCAACTCTACATGCCAACAAGCCATGTCTTCCGCCCGAACGCAGAACGACCTCGAGTTCCTACGAATCCGGTCCCACAAGCATGAGATCATGGTCGCCGCAAGTAAGTTGGTCTCCTGGGATTGCACGTCTGTCGCTGTTGGGCTGCTTGGGCAATACCATAGGCTTGTTAGTTACCTACCATTTCCGTTACAGGCTTGCAATCCTTGCATACACGAACTAACGCTCGTGCTTTTGCCATCCCCTGCAGAGGACGACTTCGTGCTTCTGGTCATCCAGGACCCCACAGCAGCAGCGTAACATTAGTCAGGCTTCAAGAAGTGCCTGTGTATGGCCGCCCCAAACGCCTCTCACAGAAATCCACGAAATGCAACTATGTATACGAGCTCAGGAGCCCTCATTCGTTCGAGTACTAGAATTATAGCAGTCTCAGCAGCGCCACCCACAGCGCTGCAGCAGCGGCGCCGGGGGCGTCAATCCAGCTGCATTGCAGCTGTCTATTCGGAGGTCCGTCCAGGCGTCATTACCGGTCATGCAGCATTGGAGTCGCCGAGCCTGCAGGCCCAAGCCCGGAGCATGACAGGACTAGCCGGGCACATTATCGTTTAGGCGCGTGGCCTGAACCAGCCATTTTCCGGAGGTTGCTGATCAGCCCGCCGGTGGGTGCATCCGTCGCTCCAGGGGACCCTTCCACGTCAACGGAATGCATCATCAGCGATGTGCTCTCGTCTAGCAGTGCTCGCCGCTGCGGGTTGGCGGTCGACAGGATGCCTATGGAGGAGTCCTTCTCCTTCAGCAGGCGACCCAGATCGGAGACCGTGACGTCTAGGTCCTTGGTTGCGTGCAGCAGGAAGGTCCCTGCCACGATGGTGACGAAGCCGCAGCCCTCCGTCACCACCTGCTCCAGGCTCTGCACGTCCTGTGAGCAGGAGGGGCGGAAAGGCGATATGTGGAGGTGTTAGCAGGGCGCTGAGTAGGCTGGAACAAGACAGTGGGCTTGTGGGTAATACGACTGGGCTGAAGTGTGGATGGAGGTGGTAAATCTACGTATGGTTGCAGGATGGGTTTGGGGATATGTCGCGTGTCTGTACATAATACTGCAATGCCAAAGGGCAATGCTGTTTTTTTCCTAGCACGTCGGACTTCACATCAGGGAAAGATGTCAAGCCGCATACGTTCTTTTGAAGGGTGTTTTAACATGGGGTCACCCCACCGTCTTGTAATCCAGCCATGCTGCAATTGGGCATAGCCTAAGTGAATCGGTGTTGCTCACCGTCGCTTCACAGCAGGTTGCAAATACAGCATGATGCCACATGCCAGCCCTTTCCATGCAGCCGTGCACAAGCCACGAAGCACACTTGGGACTTGGCCCCGCCCTGCGCGCCACCCTGACATCCTGTATCACCGCGCCACCGCCACTTACCCTAAACATGATGATGGACGCCAGTATCGTGAGCAGCGTGAACATGACGTAGTACACCGGGGACACGATGGCGGTGTTGAAGAGGTCAAGCGCCTTGTTCAGGTAGTTCATCTGGGTCATGACGCACACGATGACCACCTGCGAGGGGAGCACGGAGGAGCACAGCGCGTTAGGGGCACACTTCTGCAGCGTGCGGTGGGCGCCAACAGTCCGATTACCGGTACATGCAAGTACAGGGTACAGTATACTGCGCATGGGCTTCCGACCCACACCGCTAGCGCCACCTACCGATATGCACACGTACGTCTCCCCAAACAGCAGCTGGTTGTCCCCCTTGAACGTCAGCTTCAGCGCAATACCAAGGGCCTGCAAACACAGCAAGAGGTGCGGTCAGCGCGTTTCCCGGAAAGCGAAGCAGGGCATTAGAAGGGCAGCGGTTGTGCCGAGCCGCAGGTAGCAATGCACTCCTTAGCGACAGAACGCTGCCGCAGCTCCCGTCCCCACGCCATCGGGTTCACAATGTCACACGCCGGGACCCCATATGGGCTCCCCAGCATTGAGCCCCCACCTTGCAGCTCATGACCGACAGGGAGCCAGCCAGGGAGCAGATCGCTAGGTAGACAAAGATGTTTGTCGTCCCATGCTGTGGCGCCACGTAGAAGATGAGGAAGATGATGACCATCACTGAGAAGGCCGCATATCCCAGGAAAGCTGCATGGTAGCAACAAGCATACCATGTCAAAGACAACGATGTAACTGGGCATGGAAAGCACCACAGATGCGTAATGGGATTCAGGTGAAGGAGGGTCTTCGAAACGCCAGCATAAGGTAGAGGGAGGGGTCGTGGCAACACCGAGGGCGCTGAGGGGCTACCACACCGGGCACAACCCACCCCAGGCTTCCTCACCTGGCTGCATGGCCAGCTGGAATACCTCTATGACCGAATCCAGGTGGCGTTCGGGGGGCGCGTGCAGGACGATTGTAAGGCTGCCAGTTATACACAGCAAGCAGCCCAGGCTACCGAACATGTTTAGCTTCTCCTGTAGCACTATGTGCGCCAGCACGGCACTGCAGGCCATCAAGACAGTTCAGTATCCAGTCGATTAGCTGTAGCTGCCATAGTCACCGACCTGACAATAATGCTGAGCGCTCCAAGAGGAGTGACCAAGATCGCTGGCGCAAAGGCATACGCCGCGAAGTTGGCTGCCTCCCCTACCACCATCGATAACATGCCAGCCCACCATACTGGTTCTCTCAGGTAGGAGAACCCACCGGCCCCTAAGGAAAGGAGATAGCTGAGTCAGGTGCATGTAGTGCTAGCTGTAAGCCGAATCGACGCACCCGCACGTAGCCCTTGCGCAGCTGCAATCCTCAGCCCTCTCTTCTTTACTATAAAGCTGGAGCCTATGAAAATAGATGAACTAAGGGCAAGGCATAAGCCAATTAGCTGGTCGTTCATACTTGAAAGCTGGCCCCTAACAGGGCCTCAGCCCAATTCTAACAGAACGAGTTAGAAAATTGCAGGTAACCTAAACAATTTTTGCGTATGGGTGTTGCAAACTGCAAGTTCTTGCTGTCTAGAAATGTTTATAGAGGACGAAATTAAGCAAGCAGTGCTTCCGTTAACGTTGGGGCACAAGTATGTTTACAATTTGCCCGCAGTATGCTGGTCATGATAGCAGCTGACAATTGCAGTCGTACTGTTGGCCAGTCCGCGAACTATGATCGCACACGAGAATGGTTCTTACATGTCCATCATGCTATTGGCTGTCTTACAACTCATAGCCGCTGAATAGGTTTCAGTTGGAAGAGCCAGGTAGATGCTTACATGTGCAATTACTAACCGGCCTATAAGCCTATGCACGCAGCAGGAACCTAGGGCTCTGTCCCAGCGCTCCGTTCTCCATTCGTCGCAGGTACACTGTAGATTAGGAACAAGCTCCATGACATGTGCTCGTCCCCTTAACATGATTTTTACCTATCCGTGCTAACCTAAGCTCCCTCAAGGTGAGCGGTACTCCCTGACCCTGCTCCCCTCCCAAGACTAGAATACCCACGCTAAACTCCTGCCCTGCTGCATCGGCACCTGCGACTCCTAACTGGATCACGGCACGCAATGTTCATCCGCAAACCAGTCCCCTGCTGCTCCTGCGGTTGCCCGGAGGCTCCTTAATACAGGTCATTCGGCAGAGCGGCAATCAGGGAATCGCTCTGGAGAGCCACCTGCCCCTCCTGCTGCCCTGACCCATCCGCCCCCGCCGCAGCCTTCTCAACCCCTGCGTCCCCATCCTGCACCGCCCCGGCTGCTGCTCCCGCGCCTCCCTCCTCCCCCGTCCCGCTGCCCTGCTCTGCCACCTCCGCTTGAGCTGCACCAGCCTCCCCTCCGCTAGCAACCTCCTCCCCAGCAGCCGCTACATCGCCTTGCGCCCCACGTGTCTCCGCCTCCGCCCCGCCACCGTTGGCCTCCGCCTCCGCCGCACCCGCCTCCCCAGCTGCTCTATCTGCTGCTGCTGGTGCCGCCACCGCAGGCTCTGCCGCCCCCCCTGCCGCCGCTGCCTTTGCGGTCTTGAGCTCGGTCTGCAGCGCCCGACACAGCCCCTCCAACCGCTCCTTCTGGGTGCGCACGCGGCGCAGCTCGTCCGACTCGCCCCGCAGCTTGGAGGTGAGCGTCTCCACCTGTGCGGGGACGTGAGCACGTGGACTTGGCAATACTGGCATGCTGGTACCGGAACCGAAAGGAGAGTGGGGTGCTAGGGAGCAGCGAGGAATGCGCACCGAGGTGACACGCGCAGGTGGCGGCTTGCCGCATGGCTGACATGCGGACATGGCCGCTTGCCGTCTAAAGCACGCAGCCATGCATGCACGCGACGTGTGCCGTCCCTCCCCTCCCCCTTCCCGCTCCCCTCCCCCTCCCCTTCCTTTGGTATGGTCTTTGACTCCCCTTCCTCCCCCGCACCTGCTGTTTGAGCTGCAGCCTGTCCTGCACCAGCGCCACAATGGTCTGGTCGTTGCTCTCCGCGCGCCGCCGCGCCTCGTCGCGCTCGCGAGTGAGGGCAGTGCGGTGCTTGGCGCTGGCCTCCATCTGGTCCCGCAGACTGGCAAAGGTCTATGTGTGGGGAAGGAGGGGGGGTGGGGAGGCAGGCGTAAGGGAGACATGAGAGAAACGTAAGGCAGGATTGAGCAGCATGCCTGATACCGTTATAGCAGAACATGTTTGAACGGTGAAAAAGGGCAAGAAAGCTCAGGTTCTGTCGACGGGAGCATCACCGCCGGCGCCACTCCTCCCTAGCGCTCCTATACCCGCCACCTCCCTCCCTCCTCCCCCCGCTCCCTCCCTCCCTCTCCCAGCCGCACCTCATTGCTCTTTGTGAGCGTGTCCTGGAACTCCGCGAACTTCTCCGCGTAGTGCTCCAGCTGCGCCTGCAGCTCGTCCTTGGCGGCGGACAGCACCGCGTTGCGCTGCCGCAGCGAGTCCAGGTCGCCCAGCTGGGGCTTCAGGGCCTGGGAGGAGGCGGAGGACAGGCAGGAGGGAAGGCAGGAGGCGGGATATTAGGGGTTTAGAAGGCAGGCGGGCAGAGCAGGGCGGAGGTGGAGGGAAGGCAGGAGGGCAGGGCAGGGCCTTACGGGTTGGAAAGCGATGTGAGCACAGCTGCAGGGTACATGTATGCTGCCAGGCTGTGGTTACCAAAGCCCCCGCATGCCACATCCAGCCATGCCCCCTTCTCGCTGCCATGCAACCCCTGCAACCCCGCACCCCAACCCCCGCACCCCAACCCCCGCAAACCCCACACCCGCCCCCCCTCACCTCCAGCGCTGCCGAGTACTTGCTGTTCGCCTCCGTGAGCAGCTCCACCCGCTGCTGCAGCTCTCCCGCCAGGGCCGCGGACTGCTCGGCCTTGGCGGCGGACAGCTGCAACTCCAGGTCCTTCTTCTGGACCTGAAGGGGGGGATGGAGGCGGGTAGCAGGGAGCAAACATGGCGTTGATGGGTTGCTTGTAACGGTGATAGGCTGATTGGTTTGCTGGCAGCCCTTCTGGGCCCCCTCCGCGTGGCCGCCTCCCGCCCCACTCCCCTTCACTCCTTCCCTCCCTCCCCCTCCTCCCTCCCTTCACCTCCTCCCTCCCCCTCCTCCCCCCTCACCAGCACATTGAAGCTCTCAAACTGCCCCAGGAACGAGTCCAGCTTGCCGCGCAGCTCCTCGTTCTCCGCCAGCTGCCGGGACCGCTCGGCGGCCTGCGCGTCCATCTTCTCACTCACCTCCTGTGGGGGTGCAGGGGGTTGGGGGGGGAGCAGGGCGAGGTCAGAGACAAACCATGCACACGGTAGGGGTAAGCAATAGTTCGGCAACAAGAGAAAGCCTGGAAGGCAAAGGTCAGTTGAAACATGGATGACGTGCCCCACCGCCTCCCAAGCCAAGCAATGGCCCCGTGCAATCCACGCATCTAACTCCGTCCCTACGTTGATGGCCTGCGTGAACTTCGCTTGCAGCGCCTGCCGCTGCCGCAGCTCCTCCTCGTGCCGCCGCCGACCCTCCTCAGCCACCTGTGACGTGGATGGGCAGCAGCAGCAGCAGCAGAGGGTTAGAGAGCCCTGGCGGGAGCAGGCAGAGCTCACGAGGATCAACCGCCGAGGAGGCACCAGACAGGAAGCTCTCAACGTGACACACTGCCGGGCAGCTATTGCTGGTACCCGGGCCGGTATCGTGTGCCACCCCTGCTCCGCCGTTCCCCTCCCCTCCCGCCCTGCTCTTCCCACCCCACCTCCCGCGCCTCCTTCTGCAGCTGCCTGCACAGCTCCTCCAGCTTGTCCTTCAGCACGTTGGTCTTCTTGAGCTCCGACTGGACTGCGCGGGTGAGATGGGGTGGGAAACAGGGGTGAGGGAACAAGAGGAAAGGAAGCAAGCTGATATTGTACAGAGTGGGTGAGCAGGCAGCTCAGGGGTGTAAAGTGCTCCCAGCAAAGCGCCAGCCATGATCCCATGGGCCACAACTCGCTTCAAGTGCCGCTGGGAAGCCGCACCACCCAGCGGCGCCCCCTCCCACCCACATGTGTCCTTCCCCTTGGCCCATTCCCTTCCTATGGGTCATTATCATGTTCAGTGTTCGCTCGTGGCTCAGTTAATCTTCCCTCCCTCCCTCCCTCCCCCAACCCGCCAGGGCTTGTCAGCTAAATGTACCACTATCACACCACCCCGCTGCCCCACCCTTGTCCTTCTCCTTGGCCAGCAGCTCGTGGTCCCGCTGCAGCTCCAGCACCTGCCGCTCCATGCGGAGCAGCTCGGAGAGCTGAGGGAAGGGGAGGAGGGGGGGCAGAGGGGGGCGGATGGGGGACAGGGAGTCTACGTGGGTAGGGTAAGGGCGAGGAGTGCAAGTGGTGCCCTTAACATCCTATCTTTCTGTAGGATGTTCAATCGCGTGTCAGCGATTCTAACACCTGTTGTGCAACAGCCACACAATGCCGGCGCCTCTGCGATCTGGGTCTGACAGCTGCGGACCCAGAAGAAGAGGCATAACCATCGCAGTCGTGTCAGTGACGCTTCCAACCCCCTCCCAACCCCGCCCCCACCTGCCCCCTCACCCCAACCCCCTTGCACCCCACCCGCAACCCCGCACCTGTTGGGAGTACTTTTGCTGGATGTATGCGATGCGGTCCTCCGCACTGTTGGCACGGTCGCTGCAGAACTTGATGGCCTGGGGTAGGGTGGAGTGGGGTAATCAGTAATGTGTATGGGATAGACTGATGAGAGAGTTTAGATTAGACGGGCCAGATGGCAGCGGAGGCGTTACGGGCTAGCTGGGCGCGTGCGAGAGGACGTGGGTGGCCGGTAGGTAGGTGCGTGCAGCGACCAAGCAGGGATTCGGCGTTTGGCTGAGATCATGTACCGGTACCCCAGCAGGCCCAGTACGAAAGTACCCCGCCGGAAATGCAGCCCAGATGGTCAGAAGGTTGCAGCTGCAAACCTCAGCTGCTAACCACCTCGCCCAATTGCACCGCCCAATCGGCAGTTCGCACCTCTCGCAACTGCTTCTTGCGCGCCTTAGCCGCTTCCCGCTCCGCCGGCCCCCCGTGACCCGCAGCAACTGCCCGCTCGATCTCCTCAATCCGCGTGCTCAGCACGTTGACGAAGTCCGTCGAGGGGTCCTGTGAGCATGGCGTATTGTATATTACGCATAGGAGGGTGAGGCAGGGCTCCAGGGATGGTGGCATACACGGGTTAGGGCAGGGCTGGGAGAGGGTGGCGCTGAGCAAGCTCTAGTCCCGCAGGCAAATCACATCCATGGCTTGAAAGGTGCGCATAGTCTGGTTTTGCGCCTTCACACGACTCGGGCAGGAAAGTGCAATACATAGGCCGACAGGGGAGCGTGGCAAGCTGGCAACGGCCGGGTGCGACGAAATGGCCATGCCATGCTGCCTTAGGACCCAGGACAGGGTACCTAGAACAGCAGATCATTCCAAACACCCGTTACGAATGCATGGCTTCAGCTAGCTCGCTGACATCTCACGCAGTAGGCTTCTGTTTACACAGAATTGTTTTCCCGCGCCTTGCGCATCCCTTCCGAAGCCTCCCGCCGCACGTTGAGGCGACACCGTCGAAACCTCCACCTTACCTGGGATTTTGCTTTCTTGCCCTTTGCTGATGGGGCAGCAAGCTCCTGATGCGCTCTCGGCGACTGCACCATGGCTTTAGGAGAACCAGACGACTGCTGCGGCTCCGGTGATGAGTGGGGGCTATGCGTGGGGCTTTCCAGCTCCACCACAACGGGATCCACTGCGGTATCAGCCATAGTTCAGCCAACGAGTACCCACAGAGCACTGAAGTTTGGGGCGGCGCGACACTCTTGCCTATACCTAATAAGCTGCTATTGTTTTAATGTTGTATTGGAAGCCCAATCGCTTATGTCGAACATGGGCCTTCCGTTCATAACTGCTAGATGGGCACGAACGGCAGGTCGATGATCACAATGCAAAAGAGACTGCGCGATCAGGTCCAGCAAAAAATACAGTGTAGCCGCATTTTACGAGATCTATAGCATATACTAAGAAAGGCCAGCTTTGTCCCAAATGCACTTGTAAGACCACCCAAGAAAATGCTTGTCGAGGATTTCGAGGCGTTCTATCAACAAGCAGTTGAGTTGTATAAAGCTAGACCTTTAGAAACAAGGTATTCAATTAAATTTCGGCACAGCGAGGGCAAGCTGGTCCTCAAGGTCACGGACGATCGAACGGTGCGGCCTGCCGCAGATGAAGGAAGGACCGCCCTTGGCGTTGGCACATTATGACCCATAATGATGACATACTTGCAATGGGGGTTGCGGCAATATACCACAAGTCGTTCGCGTCTGCCCATCATGCAGTGTCTGAAGTACAAGACGGATCAGCAGGTGGACCTAAGAAAGCTAGAACGGATAACTTCCATCTTCTTCCCTCTGATGGCGTGCGGGGAGCTGCCAGCGGAAGGTGAGCACGGTCTGTCACCGGGGTTGTAACGGCCGCTTACACGTTGCTGCCCTGGTTCGTAGAGGCGCATCGGAGGGTTAGTCCACGGCGCACATTCCGGTGGGGGAGGAATAGCACGTCGGGGGGGGATAGTGGGCGTTCCCACACGCCCGCGCATCTTCTGCATGCCGCTGTCGGTCTTGTACCCGAAGCGCACGTCATCCACTTAGGGAACCGCCCCCACCCCAAAAGCTCAACCTCTCTGCGCCCGCCCTCGCCGTGATTTCCCCCTCCCCGCTGCGCCTCAGGCGCTGTCGGGCAGGAGCCAGGGCAGCAACCCCAGCAGCAGCCGCTTGGCGGGGCGCAGGCGGCAGGGGCCTCTAAGAAGGCCAGGCGCCGAGGGTAGAGGCGCCAGGAGCAGCAGCGCTCGGCAAGCCCTCCTCGTTGCCCGCTGTATGGTCGTAGCGGGGGTCATCGGAGCGCGGAGCAGCGTACGGCACACCGTACGGGAGGCGGCTCGCGGTCTGGGGGGCCCTTCTGGTGCCGGCCTGGCATAGGAGAGGGACGGCCATGGCCGGCGCGCATGTGATGTAGTCCTGCGATAGCTGGGGAGCCCCACATGGCCTTCAGCGAGAGGATACTAACTTAACTACGTCTCGTCCGCAGTAGGCGCATGCAGCTGCTATGAGAGCTGTGTAAAGAGGCTCAACGACATGGGCTCGGATGCGGAACTGCACGGAGGCCCCTGGATGCGTGGGGGCGCCGGGCCGCCTCAGGCTGGGTTGACGGCACGGAGGAAATTTATAAATAAGTGCAACAACACAGTCCCAATCCCGAATCCCGGCACGGAGGAGGGGTGCGGGCAGCGGGGCGCAGCCTTAGGAGCCGGGCGGCACCCCGCGCAGGGAGAGGGGCTGTGGGGAGCAGGAGCACGGTATGACGAGATGCGGGTGGAGCGCCCCATGAGCTGTCTGGGTTGCGGGTGCGAGGTGGATGTGCCTGCCACGGCGGTGTTGTGAGAGGGTGCGGCAACTTGGCGCTAGCAGGGTGTTGCAGGGAGGGACGGATGGCGACTTCACGTCCCCAGGAAGCGTAGGTGGCGTGTGCGGCGTGCTCTCGCTGGTTGTGACCGATCCGCGGGATTCGGAAGAGTGTGACATAAGAAGTGCGGACTTTTCGGTGCCTGGTCTGGAGACGGGCTGTGGCTTGATGTGCAGCTCCTGGTATGTGCGTTGTGTAGGTCGCTGGAGGTACTAGTTGCGCCCTCAAGTAGCGCCTACAGCAGTGACATTTTGCCTGCAGCCTTGCACCTTGGGCGGTATAAGCGGAGTAAGGGAACAGAAGGCTGAGGTAGGGAGGCGGAACGCGGGAGCCCGGAGGCTCGGCAATGAATTGACATGCCCTTATCTGTAAGGTAATTAGCGGCAAGGGGCACTTGCACGGTTGCTCACACATGCTGCCTTTCACCGCCGAAGGTAAGCAAGCGTGCGCGTCAAAAGAATAAGGCGCTATGCACATAGTTCAAACACCTGCCATGTCGACACGTCTTAAGAGTGCATGTCTGCGCTACTTACTAGTATCGGTACTCTCCGCTCCAAAGCCACCGTCCTGCCATACCGGCCACCCGGTCATGCATCAAAAGCATCATCCATGCACGCCACGCAAGGTTTTGCAGACTGATCCCAGCTGCTCTACCGCCCCTGCTGTGCATTCCCCCTGCGCACACGACTGTTCCCCTCTCCCACACCTGCTGCACGAACACAACCCCGCCGGACCTGCCTACCTGGTATCCATGCTATCCTCGGCCGCACACGAAACTGTACAACTACATGATATACACATGCGAACCACGTACGACATTAGGTGGCCCCTCGAAGCCCTCTCACCCAAGCTGTGCTGTCGTACTGTCGTACCGCCTAAGGACTCCAGGCGCTAGTCCCACCTTGTCACGCCACATCAGCCGCTTCCAAGGGCCCGGCTCATTAGCTCAACACCAAGTGCTCTGCTCATCACCTCGTCAGGTCACGCCTCGTCAGCCCAGCTCAGCTCAGCATCTTGCCCAGCTTGGCCACCGTCTGCCCCGCGATGTCCACGATCTGGTTCACCGCCGCCTCCGCGTTGGCGGCCTCAGCCTGCGAGTGGGGGCCACGAGGGCGAGCCGGGGCAACGGATAGCGGTGCAGACGGCACGTGACGCGAGGCTGTGCGCCTGGAGCAGGCAGGGCAGGGGTCGATCTGGACCGGGTGCCGTCCTTTCCACAAGCTGGGCAGGTCATAGCGTGGCAAGAGAACGCCGGATTCGGCGGTCCCCATGTCCGTGCCTGCTCCCCATGTCGCTCTTCCCCCAGCCAGCTTATCCACAGCTCCCCATTTGTCACCCGTCTCCCCGCCACACCTTGCGCTGCGCCTCCCTCCGCTCCCGCTCCTTCGCCTCCCGCGCCGCCTCCACCCAGCCCAGCACCAGCGCCGCCCCCGCCGCCGCCAGCGTGCTGCCCGCCAGGTGCGCCAGCTGCCCCACCGGACTGCCCTCCACCAGCAGCGAGGAGGACAGCGGCTGGTAGCTGCGGATGGGGAGGCAGGGTTGGGGAAATAGTGATACATGACATGCGAGGGTGGGCTTGAGAGGTGCTGACCGACCCAGTTGTGGCCGACCCAGATCGCCACGCCCACACTCTACGGGTCGCCAACCATGATACACTTCATGGTGGAGCCTTGCCACAAGGCTACCTGTGGTGGCTAGTCATTTTCTCCTAAACCCAAACCCCAAGCTTCCCAACCACACAGCACCGCAGCACCCCCCCTCCCTCGCCGCCCCTCACCGCGCCAGAGTGGCCAGGCATGCGAAGGGCGCCAGGCAGGCCACCTCCAGCGGCTTGCTGCGCAGCCGCGGCAGCCCCACCCCCACCAGGAACAGCCCCCAGGCGGCCGCGGGAGCCGCGGAGGACAGCAGCCCGGCCTTGGCAGGCAGCAGCCACCAGGACAGAGCGGCGGCGGCTGGGTGGGGGGCGTGGGGCGGAATGGGAGGGAAGTTGCGGAGGGAACTCAGGGAAGGTAAGGTATGTCGGAGGAACAAGGGTAACAATGTGCAGATCAAGGATGTGGCTCTGACCCAGATTAGCGGTACTGCGACTTGGGACCGCTGACCCAGATCAGATCACGCAGGCCTGGCTCGACCCAGATCGGGATGAACCATACCATCCCACGCGTTTGCAGCATGACCCAGATCAGATTCTTTGTACACATGCACCTATCACCCTGTAGCTACTGACCCAGATGGCTATGGGCCATGCGGTTGCTAACTTGCTATCCCCGTCTTCCAAGATGCTCAGTCAATTGTCCCTCATGAACGCATAAACGCCAGAACGGTGTCATCAAGTCATCATGAACCCCCTTACCTGTGCCGCAGGCCAAGTACACAGCCCACGTCGCGATGACGCCATGATTCCGCTCCACCACGCGGCCGAACACGTAGGTGAAGAACACGCACTGCAGCAGGCTGTCTAGGCTGGGGTGCGCGAAGCATGACGTCAGCAACTGCCAGAACTGCGGCTGCCGGTGGTTGAGCAGCAGCGACGCGGCGGGCAGCATCGGCAGCAGCACACAGAGCATGAAGGTGGCCAGGTTGGCAGCCGCGATGCAGTAGGTGGGGCTGCGGAGGTCTTCTGGGAGCGCTATGCTGGTAACCGCGCCGCCCTTTGATTTAGGCGAGGTAGTGGTGAGAGTGCCTGCACGGAAGGAAGAGTGGCAGGTAAGGCGAAGCGTTAACGTGCGGCCTTGCTGGTGTGGGAATTGGAGAGTGCGTGGCGAGAGTTGACTGAAATGCCGCAAGCAACAACGGCACGTACCGGCGACCAACTCACGAAGCAACGCTTTGGTGGCGCCGGCTACGCTGTCACCACCGGAGGAGGACGTTACAGCCACGTCTTTCTTGCTGGTTTGGCAAAGGCTTTCGCGGTTCACGAATGCATTGCCATGTGAACTCCAACGCGGTGGAGCACCAATTCGACAAGGATTGGGCCGCACACGATGTCCTTCAAGGAGCGTCATATGGACACGCATTTGGCACAGCTGCTGCATACTTCAGGCGGGGCCTGACCGGGCAATTGCCGTTAACGTAACAGGAACTATCAATCTAGGGCGGGCCTACGGTCTATATTTTTATATGACTTCAACCAACACTGTTGAAGGAGTACAAGGGGCGGAACTGATCAGCAGTGCCGAAGCAGGCGACAGGCTGCTTAAAATCGCAAGGATTCAACACGTCTGCCGGCTCAATTGTGAAGTACTTGCAAAGGGTATGCGTGGTTGAAGCGTGAAGGTTTGTTGGTCACGTCTCCCAAATCCTTGGAATTCGTCAACGGGCGTAACAGAAACTACAGCAACATCCCGTACTCAGATCACTTGCGGATGAATAAGAGCTGTTTTGTACGCAGGATTCTTCATTCATGCGGCCATGGAACTTACTGCAGGTTTGCAAGTTCGCCTGTTGTTGCTCTGGCGACGGCCCAAGGCAGGCAGACCATCCCCATACGTCCCAGGCCCAAGCCGCACGACACCGTGTAGGCACGCCAGTTCTGTGAACATAACGAACCCACTTGGTTCCGCCATTCCATGCCCACTGTGCGCTAACAAACACAAAACGTGTAACCCCTGAGCCACCTGTGGGCAATGCTGCTACAGCCGGGCACGCTTAAAAGCAAGGGTTCTACCATGACCGTAAGTAAAGTGCCGAGCGGCCTGTGTGCGTTTCGTGCTGATGGCAGCCTAGCCCGGGCCTGCCCGGGTCGGCAGGTGTCTGCTGGCGTTAGAACTGCGGGTTGGACCTCCGGCGCCAAGTCCACTGATGTGTGAGCCTGTTCCTTCCTGCATGGCGTTCCCCATCCTGACCCAGCGGCGCCTTACTGCGGCCTCTGTATGGGTATGCGAGTACCGGTATGTTGCCCTGGTGCCCGGACTCTGAGGTCCGTCCAAGCGCATGTAAGCTGCGGCACGCTCATATATGCGATACTGACCCCTATAGGCAGCACAGGCGGAATAGATCTAGTGGATTGCGTGCGCCAGCTTCGCCACGGTAATATTGCGTCTTGCGGGGTGCAGAGCATACCGGCCCTTAGAATTTAACTCCATGGGTCTCCTCCATGGGTCTAGCCCAATTCGAGGAAGGCCTACGCAACACCGATCCCCTTGAAGAAACAAAGTGCCGGCCTACATGGTATCCATACAAGGGATAGGGAGGTGCGGCAAACGTCCAGTTAGTAGCCGAGCAAGCGAGCAAGACATGGACAGTCGTCCGTTCAGTGCCTCGAGCAATATATACAGCGTATCACCTCCAAGCCCGTTATAGTTACAAAACGTGTAATGCGTTGTAGCACACTGTCTTGGGCTGTCAAGCTTGGTACGGCACAGGGCCTTGCAGAGATTGGAGCTTATCGTCTAGCATTTGCTTGCAAAAGTCACGCTTCTGTAGGCATTCAAAGTAACCACATTCTTTTCTACCACTAGAACCAAGATGGCCATGTCCCTTGCTCGCTCCGCCTGCAGCGGCGTCGCTGCTCCCCGCAGCTCGACCACCCGCGTCGCTGCTGCTCGGCCAGCTATTCGCCCAACCCTCAGGTACATACACTAGGCTTAAGACAAATATAAACTATGGTTCGAAAAGCGCTGAGTTACTGAGGAAATTCGGGTGGCCGCGCCTGAACTGTCTCACCCGCACAGGACCGTCGGCCACAAGGCCCTAGCACCCAGCCGGGGCGTGGCCACCAAGGCCTTTACTGAAGTGGCTATGATTGCTGGCGAGGGCGGCTTCGTGATTGGCACTGCTCTGACCATGGTCGGCATTACGCTCGTGGTGGGTGCAAGCACCCCGCCAAATGATCAGCGCGCACTGGAATAATGTGCGCGAGTGATTGCGCTCCATAATCTGTAAAATGCGACCTTTTTAAACATGCTGTCACAACTGTTGACGAGACTTTGCCTAACATCTGAATTTCACGAATTTGCCTATACTCACGTTCTACGCCTTCCTGTTGCAGGGCCTGGCCGTTGGCTTCGTGCTCCTCCGTGTGGAGGCCCTGGTGGAGGAGGGCAAGATCTGAGCATAGGACCGTGTGTTAAGTGTGTGTGTGCGTGTGTTGTGGGTATGCATAGTGCTGAGAGTTACGGGGTATGACGGGGGGCTGTTCACCAGCGCTGGGGACTTCAACTGCTGCGCTGAATCACGCGGCACAACGGGCGTGATTTTGGAGAGGTGTTGGCCTGCAAGGCTGACACGCCGGCGGGCTGTTTTGCTTCACGTACGCCCCCGGCTGTAACGCTTGTTGTGCCGCTTGACTCCTTCCTGGGCGCTGACAAGCGACGCAGTCAGCCTCTTTCGCAGTCATCAAGCCTTCCGCTCATCGGTTTGGTCCCTAGACAGCAATGCCAATCGTCGAATGCAGCTGGTCCGTGTGCCGCCGCGGAAGAACAGCTGCGTTTTAAACTCACTCTTACAGGAAACAGGGGAGCCGCGTTGGGCGTGTAGCCGCCGGCACGCGACTACTGGGCAAGCTTCTCTCTTCAAGGCGTTGGGTGGAGAGCACACGTCAACGCCCAAGGCCGCGCCATCCTGACTTCATTCCAACATAGGCACCACTGTCTCAGCCGCAACATACCTTACCCGGCCTTCTGTCCTGACTCCCCACGGACGTCCCCAACAGCCATGCCCAGTCGTAAAAACACCCCTTCACACCCCCGTGCACATCAGCAAGCACACTGGACCTCCGCACCACATACGGTATCCAAAGTTCCAAACACACAATCAACGGCGTTCCAGCCAACCCAACCAACCACAGGGCGGGTGTACATCAGGCAAGGCAGTGGCAAACGAGCGCCACCCCAGCACCGCTCTGCCAACAGGCCGTGTGGGCCAACTTTATGAGGATCACAGTTCACATACACCCCGGCGCTCTCGCGCGCCACTGCAACATGAGTGCACCGAATCAGATTGAATCGCCACAGAACTGTACGATGACATACCCTAATAACCGTATCGTGAGAAACTGCATAACCATGCAACCAGGAGGTAAGTAGGCAAGTCCGCATCCTAGGGTGTGCTTCACAGGCCTCAGCAGCCAACCCCATCCAAACAGCCCATCACAAACCCACCGCATGCACGAATCCCAGGCGTCCATTCCAACGACCAACACATCGCACATTCGTAACGTCAACCGTCGTACAATCACAACCACAATAGCGGCTCTGCCAGCCAGCCGACCCTGCATCATCGGGCTGTTAGTCTTCGCCGAGTCCATCTTCCAGGGTCGAACAGCAACGTCTTTTCACCTCGCAGATGCGAACCAGGATATCGCAATTCGGTATCTTATTGAATGTTTCTTGAACAAAGGTAGAGTCACGAGCTTGACCGCACGTGTGCTTCCAGGCCGCCGCTCAATCTGCACGGCGGTGTCAAGCAGCGCCCACAGCTGCCCTGCTGCCTCCTGTATCCCCTCCTCTCCTACCGGTTAAGGCATCTGAAGGCCCCTCTTCCTACCGGGCCCCCCTCGAGGCCCCCCTTCACGGCACCGCCAGGCCGTTTTCCCGGAACCCGCTTGTGAGTGCCGCCATGGAGGTGCTGGGGCGGCGGGCGAAGCTGGTTCCGCCTGCAGCAGGTCAGGGGGAGCGTTAGTAGCAGCAACCAAGGTAACATAATACAAAAAGACAGAGAGCCCAAACGCCTCACGCCCCGCCATCTCAACCTACGCACTAAGCCGCACCCTTCCCGCCCTTCCCAAGAGCTCCCTCCTCATCCCTCCACACTTCCAACTCCCCTCCCCACCACCCCCACCTGCCACCCACCCCCCGCCCCACCTGACGCCAGCGATCCCTCCGCCAGCGACCCCAGCCCCGCAGTCGCCGGCCGCGAGGCGCCCGTCAGCGCCAGCGACCCCCCGCCTCCCGCGCTCCGCTGCGTGTGCTGCGTGTGCGCGCTGTGCGGCGTGTGCCCCATGCCCCAGCTGGGTGCCAGCTTGATGGTGCCGGAGGGGGTGTGCGCCGCCAGCGCCTTGTTGATGGGGCTCTCGGGCCGCTGGTGCAGCCGCTGCACGGAGCGAAGGGCGATGGCCATCTCGGAGCTGCGCTTCTTCTCGGCCTGGAGGGGTTGGAGGTGGGAGGTGGGGGGTTGCGTGGGGTGTATGGCATGGACATTGCGCTAGAGGAAAGAACCAAAACCGTGACATGTACACTGGTACATGCACACCCGCTCACTCATTTAAACACACACGACCAGGGTTTCTTAACACACGCACGCAACCCCATTCCTTCTTCCCCCTCCCCAGTCCTCCCAGTCCTCCCCCCGCCCCCACCTGCAGCTCGCTGCGGTACCTGCCCACCGCCACCTCCAGCTCCCGGATGTACTGGATGGTCTTGTCCGACCGCATGTCGCCCACCACCTGCGCTGTCACCGCAGCCTTCAGCTCCGACTCCACCTGCGCACGCAGCGCGTCCAGGTCCACCGACCCGCCCAAACCGCCCAGCGCGGGACCCAGCGGACCGCCGCCTCCACCTCCCAGGCTGGAGCCGCCCCCGCCCGTGGCACCTCCCCCCAGGGAGGTGTAGTGCGCATGGTGAGAGTTGCGGCCGGGGGAGGTGGCGGCGGTGGGGCTGGCGGGCGGGCCGCCGCTGCCCGCGCCGCCGCCCGAGGTGCCGGTGGCGGGGGAGGGCGAGTGCAGGGAGGAGGAGGAGGCGCAGCCGTGAAGCAGGCCGCCGGGGCTGCCGGGGCGGCCGGTGCCGGCGGCGGCGGCGGCGGAGAGGGCGAGCAGGCGCTCGTACAGGTCAGCGGAGCGCTCCTGCGGGGGTGCGGGAGAAGCGGTGGTGGGCAGGAGGTTGGTTGGTGGGGGTGGTTTGGAGGTCAGACCCACAGATACCTCATACAGGCAAACAACGCACTGATACACTTCCTTCTCCGTGCCCCCCTTGCCGCCGTTACCCCACCGCGCCCCCACCCCCCACCTTGAGCACCGTCAGCCTGCTGCCCTCCAGCCTCGGCGGCCTGTCCCGCTGCGGCAGCCTGAACGCCCTCACTCCGTTGCCTCGCTCGTGCACCGGCACCACGCCGCTCTCCATGCGGCGCACCAGCTCCGTCACCCGCTCGCAGTAGCTGGCCAGGTAGTCCAACTCGGTCTGGAGAGAGGAGGGGGGGAGTGAAGGGGGAGTGAAGGGGGAGGAGTGAAGGGGAGCCGATGAAGGAGAGAACAACCATTCAGCCGACATTCAGCCGACATTCAGCCGACACACCCAACGCTTTCCCAGCAGGAACACGGTAGCAGCCCACCCAACAGGAGCAGCGTTTCCTGCTTATCCCCGCCCCTGCCATTACCCTCACCATGAGCGCCTCCCTCTCCGCCGCCTGCGCCGCCCTGCCCGCCTCCAGCTGGTGCCGCAGGTCCGCCAGCTGCTCCGCCTGCTTGCCCAGGAAGTAGCCGCTCTGCTGCTTCAGGTTCTCCAGCTGGGCCTTGTGCTCCTCGCTGCCGCGACTCACCTGGGAGGGGAGGAGGAGGGGAAGTGGTGGATGAGAACTAGCCGCATGGCGGTGGTTGGGCGCATGTAGAAGCATGCTTTGCAGTGTTACTGTGCACAACCCTTAAGCACCGCCCCGCCCTCTACCCTCCACCCGCCCCCCCTCACACCTGCTGTTGCAGCAGCTGGTCCGCCTGCCTCCTCACCGCCTCCCGCTGCCGCTTCTCCGCCGTGATGGCGGCCGAGTGCTTGGCCACCAGCCCGCTCACGCTGCCCGTCACCGCCGCCAGCTGCCCCCGCAGTGCCTCGATGTCCTTCAGCAGCCGGGAACACTCCTCCTCGGAGCGACGCCGGGCGTCCTCAAGCTGGGAAGGGGGAGGGGCAGGGAGGGAGTGGTTGGGGGATGAGGGGAGTGGTTGGGGGATGACCCCGACCCATGCGCCCGCAGCTCCCTCCCTTACCCTCACCCTCACCCTCTCCCTCACCATCCTCCCACCCCCACCTTGCTTGCGGAGTCGGTTCGTTCCGCGTCCAGCGCCTTGGTCAGCTCGGCCACCTGCGCCCGCAGCTTCTTGATCTCCGCGAACTGCGCGTGCTCCTTGCCCGCCATGCGCTCACGAACCATGTCCATCTCCTCCTGCGAATGGGGAGGGTGCATGGGGGATTAGTTCAACTGAGCCGCGCAAACACTGACCCTGACTGTAGTACCGGTACGCCGGAGCTCCCAGCTCCCCCCCCACTGCCCCCGCGCCTCCTCCCCCCCCTCACCTTCCTGGCGGTGAGCCGCTCCTCGTACTGCTGCGCGGAGGTGCGCGCCTGACCCAGCTGCGCCTCCAGCTTGCGAACCTGCGCCTCAAGCTGTGCATGGGTAGCGGGGGGGTGGGAGGGAAAAATTGGAAAGGGAAGCAGCGGAGTCCGGTGGAAAGGGGGGGGGAGAACACAGGAAGAGGGCAGAGCGGGGTCAGGAGCAGGGAAACCGCTGACGGCGTGCTCACCCCTGGGTGCATATACACCCTACCCCCCACTCAGCTGTCCTCAAGGCGCTGCTCAATCCTATACCCTCCCCGCCCCTCCCCGCCACACACTCACAAACGAGATGCGGCTGTTGGCTCCACTCGCCGACTGCTGCGCCAGGCTCTTGGGCATGCCCCCGCCCCGCACCACACTCGCCGCACCCCCCACACTGCGGTCCCCGAACGCCGACGACCGCCGCCGCTCATCCGCCGACCCCTCCCGCCCGCCCCCACTGCCCAGCCCGCCGCTCAGCGACCCGCCGCCGCCGCTTATCCCCCCAAACGCAATGGTAGGCATGGCGGAGCCGCTGCCCGAGCCGCTTCGTTCGCCGCTGGGCTTCCCCAGGTTGGCCAGCGCGGCTGCGAAGGCGTCCAGCCCCGCCTCCTCCGCGCCGGGGGCTCGCTCCAGGGGGCCGGGGTCGCCCCGCCATGCGGGCCCCGCCACCTGCTCCAGCAGCTTCTGGTAGTGCGCGTGAGTGACCTCTAGCTCGTCCTTCAGCTGGGTCACCTGCGGGGGCGGGAGAGGGGAGGGGAGGGGGAAGGGTGGCGGGGTGGTGGGGCCCACGAAGGCGCAGGTGAGGGGGAAGAAGGGCTAAAGGAAGCGCCTACAGGAGGCCATGCAGCCTCCCTCCCTCGTTTGAGCAAGCAAACCCTCTTCTCCTCAACCCCCTCCTGCCTCCCCTCCTCCCACCTCTTTCATCAGCTCCTCCACCGCGCCCGCATCCGGTGCCACCGTGGGCACCACATTCACCGCCGGCGTCACCGAGGGAGCGGAGCAGCGTACGGCGTACTGCAGGGTTGCCGTACACTCCTCCACGTTTTCCGGGATGGGCAGCAGACAGGCCAGCAGCGCCACCAGGGCGTTGCCGGTGAGGGAGTCCTTGAGAAGGCGGGTGAGCTTGGAGTCGCGGAAGGGGATGTGGACGAGGCTGGAGGAGGAGGTGCTGCCGCCGCCACCGGCGGCGGAGCCAACGGAGGCGGAGTGGGAGGCGGACGCGTGGGAGGCGTGGGAGATGGAGTGGGAGGCGGAGTGGGGGGCGGAGGCGAGGGAGAGGGAGCCGGAGGGGGAGGCGCCGGAGCCGGAGCTGACGGAGGGCATGCTTGGCAGCGGGATGTGGGGGGCGCCCTGGGAGGGAGGGAGGGAGGGGGAGGAGGGGGCGGGGTGGGGTGAGGACGGCAGCAAGGGAGGGAGGGACTGAGAAGGGATGGAGTGGTGGTTCTAGAGGCAGGCGACAGGCGGTTGAGGACGGGAGGGATGAAGGATGCAGGAGGGAGGGAGGTACAGGGCTTGTTAGGTGATTAGGTCGACGGATTCCAAGGATTGGTAAGTAGTGTCTGGTCCTGAGGCACCTCTCTTCCTGCCCTACCCGTCCCTCCCTGCCATTTCCCCCCAGTGCCTTCCTCCTCCTCGGGCTGCCCTTCCCCAAACGGGCTGCTATCACCTGCGACCCCCCCTGTTCCCTCCCATGTTCCCCTGCGTGTGTATCCCCAGTTCCCTACATGCGCCAGAATGGTGACCACCTTGCCCAGCGCGGCTAGCGACTTGCTGGCGAAACTCAGCTCCTGCGGAGGGGGTCAAAGACCATACCGGGGGTGGGGGAGGGAGGGGGAGCAGGGCAGGGCAGGACGGGGGGACAAGGGATGGGCAGGCAGGTGGGTGGAGAGTCTGGAGACGGGTAAGGAAACTGGCCCCCGGCACGGCGCTTCCGCTCTCCCCACCCCTAGTGACATGTTGAACACCTCCTCAATGCCCGCATCCCTCTCCCTCCGCCCCTCCCCTCAGCCACCCAAGTCCCCACCTTGAGCCTCTGCGCCTCCGAGCCGCTCCGCCCGTGCCGCTCGCTGCCCGCCAAGTCCACCAGGTTCAGACGGCCTGTGGAGAGTGGGAGGGGGGCGAGGAGGTGAGGCAGGGGAGGCGGGAGAGGGGAGAAGGGCAGGGGTAAAGCATGATGATAGCACCAGGATGTTGTGATCACGGCAGTGGCTGGTAGGTGGTAGCTGAGGACAAGCGCCCCCTCCCCGCTCGCCCGCCTACCCACCTGTCACCGGCTGCTGCCCGGCTCGGTAGGTCACCACGGTGACCGTGAAGACGGTGTGCGAGCGGTAGGTCACATCCCCCGTGGCGGGAGACACAGCCGCCGGCCGCATGCCGTACCCCGCCCGCAGGATGGCGAGCATCTCCTCACAGCTGGCCACCTCGATGTACGACAGATCCTTGGCGTAGGTGTTGCCGTTGGCGTCCTCTACAACTTCGAGGTTGATGCGGGGTGGGTCGGCGCTGGGCGGCACCAGGGAGGAGGAGGCGGCACGGGAGGGCGGCTGGCTTCCGGAGACGAAGGTGAAGGGAGGCAGGTAGACGGCAGCGTCGTTGAAGTTATGGGAGAAGCCGCTGCCGCTGAAGCTGCCGCCGCCACCACCTCCGCCGCCGCCATTGCTGCTGCTGCCGCTGCCTGGCTTGACGATGCCGTTGGCTTTGAGGTAGGCCTGGGCCGCGGCTCCAAGGTCACGGACTTGCTCCATGTAGATATCCAGGAAGCTGTGGGTTGGGTTGGGACACATGGAGGGGATTAGGGGTTCGGCGGTTGGTGTTTGGGAGGGCTATGGTGATGTTGTGAGGACCAAGGTACTAGCGCGGCGATGTCTTCTCGACCGTAGTGACACCCTCTGGACAACGCTTCCGTTCCCCAGGCTGACCAGGTTGCAGCGTACCTGACGAAAAGCTTAATCCGTACGCTGGGGGTGCCCCCAGCAGACTCAACGTGATCTGCCTTGCGGTTGACCTGATATGCTGTTTTCCACAATGCTTCACAAGCGCGGGGAATGAGCCCCGGGTCAGAGCTTTGCTCCTGAGCTCCACCTCCATTCGACGCATTCGCGCCATCCCGGCCATACATCGAATATGTTTTGCCGCTGCCAGTCTGGCCATAGGCGAAGCAGCACGCATTGTAGCCTTGCAGGACGTGATCAATTAGGGGCATGCCAACATCGTGGAAGACCGCGTCTTGCTTGGCATTTCCATCAAAGACTTTGTCGAAGACATATTCGCTGCTCTGCCCTTTTGCAGCATCCTTTAAGTATAGCACACGATGCTCTGCCTTGACAATGCTGCTCGACTCGTCGCTTGGTGGGGGCCGCACACGGACGAACACCTTTAACCGCATCTTGCGGGCATCTGCTCCTTCCATTACAGTTAACTTTGTATATCGGTGTGTGGGTATTCAAGTAAAGCAGCGATTATGGGCAAGGTACCATGGGCGCACAGCACATTTCCATTACCAGCGAGCGGATCCGTAAGAGTTGCAGATTTCTATAATTGAAGACTGGTATATATCAACACAGCATTCAAAGGGCAATATTAGATTATAGTCGGTTATTCAGCCGGGGCTTCTAAGGACGGTTCAACCCAGTTCTAACGGTGAGTCCTATGATTATGTCGTCCCTATATAACGTCACTTAAGTGATAACCTTTGGGGGTGGCGGATGGAGTAGCTCGATGGCTAGCTACGCTAGCCTCGCTGTCGTACGATCCGCCGCAGAGCGTCGTAAGCACTTTTGCACTAACTTCAGTAAGTCTCTATACGACCGCAGAGCCCCTAAATGATAACGTTTTCGGCGACGGCAAGCGACCATCCCTAGCAGTACTGCCAACCGGCACTGGTATCGGTGAAGTACGCAAGCCAACTTCAACCGGAATGCGTACGTATAACGTAATATTGCTGCTGAATGCTCCAAACTGCCGTAATCGGGTATACATGAGACCCTCCATACATGGCTCACGTACAAAGGGGAAATCGTACATACACAGGCCGTAAAAATGTTTCGTACATGTGGGCAGTAACCAGCTTACCACCTGGGAATGGCCTTCACCATGTACTGTCAGGTTCAGGCAGGCAGCTGCAAAATTTGGCAAACATTTGGCCAAAAGCTGCCTGCCTAAAAACAGTCAAGCAAGCGAACCCACAGCAAACCCAACGGGACATCTCGCCCGACTCTAGCACAACCAACTGTCTCCTTGGGCCGGTTGCCTCCCGCCAGGAATGCCTGTCCTCAACAACGAGCCGAAGGGCGGGTGCTGCGAGGTTACGGGCCCCACGTAGTGACGCCTACCCGCCGGCTTGGCGCCAATATTAGGGACCAGCAGCTAAACACTCGTAGCTACACCAGGTGTTAGTCAATAATAGGTGCCCTCGCAACCAACCGCCAACCAATAACCGTCAACCACCTCGCTCCGAAGAAGCGACCAGCAATCTATCGCAGCGCATGGCCTCAAAAACGCTTTCGTTGGCTTCCTTCCCAAAAAGAAAGAGAGCATGAGGTAGCAGCGGAAGACGCAAACCGAAAGAATGCCAAAACATCATGTCGCTGACACGCCAATAGCATACCAAACCTGGTTCACGCGCGGTCTTACCTCTGTTCACCAGCCTACACCAGCCTGCACCCCGGCATACATGCCAACGAATGTACATCGGAACACAGTATCCCAACGCAACATGACATACTACCCCACAGCAGCAGCACCCTGCATCCACTAAGCTGTGTGTCACACCACCACCACTGGCGACACACATGCGGCTCTCCTCTTCTCTTACGCCATGGCGAAGACCTTGGAGCTGAACGACCCACGGGTCACCGCCTCCTCCACCCAGCGGCGAGCCCAGTTGTCGTAGTGCACAATGGTCTCCAGGTCGGGGCTGGCAACCAGCTCCGACTGGGGTGCGGAGCGGGGAGGGAGGGGGCGCGAGCGGGAACATGCTTAGTTAGGGAAGGTCATGCGCCGGAGATGCGTCCCTAACAAACACTCCACCAAAGCACCATCGACTGGCCCCCCCTCTTTCCCCCCCTACCTTGTGCGCCTCGCAGCAGGCCTCATTGAGCTTCATGATGTCCAGGTAGTGCACCTTCTCGTCGATGAACATCTGAACAGCCTGGGGGGGCGGAGGGAAGGGAGGGGAGGGGTGAAAGGAGAGGAGTTCGCGATACTGCGAGACGTACAGCGCGGAGGACGGCGGCGAAACAACCAACAGCAGCCAAGTAAGACCACATCATGCATTCCACCCACATGACAACATGAGCCTCATCATCAACTCACCGCCCCAGCCTCTCAGCCCTCTCACCCACATACCTGCTCGTTAGCCGCCGACAGCACGCCGGTCATGGTGCCCCCGGTGCGCCCCGCCGCGTAGGCCAGGTCCAGGGAGGGGTACTTCTGCCGGTCGGGCGCCTTGAAGGTGAGGCTGCTGGCCTTGGTGAAGTCCAGTCGGGGCCAGGTGGCGTCGCGCACCGGCACCCGCTCCGGCCAGCTCATGGTGTACATGATGGGCAGCCGCATGTCGGGCCAGCCCAGCTAAAGGGAGGGAGGGGCAGGGATGGGGAAAAAGAAATTCCAATGTGTGGTGTGATAATGGTGCAAATTGGGGAGTGGAGGAGAGCAGCAGCGGTTAGGAACAAGCCCAGTCGCTTGAGAAAAGTGGGTTACATGGCTTCGTGCCATGAATGCACTGATAGGGAAGTTGTACGGCTGGGCTGTGTGCCTGCGCACTTCGCCATGTAGCAGCTGCCAGCCCGCAGCAGCAGCCATGCAACACCCTCGCCCTTCCTTCCCCTCGTCAGTTTCCTCATCCCCCCCCCAAGCCCTCCCCACCTGCGCCAGCACCGACGAGTCCTGCGTCTCAATCATGGAGTGGATGATGGACTGCGGGTGGATCACCACATCGATGTTGTCGTAGTCCACCCCGAAGAGGTAGTGCGCCTCGATCACCTCCAGACCCTGGAGGGGGGCGGGGCAGCGGGGTGTAAAAAATTAAATATGTGAAACAACGGCAGGGGGGTGTGTGGCGGGTGGCGGGGGAGAGGGCCAGCAGCAGCGGGGATTGGGGGGACAGCAGCAGGAGGAGGAGAGGTAGCAGGTGGCGGTGAGGGTGTCATATAAGCAGGGAGGCGCGTCAGGCACTGGTACCATGCATGCGGGCCACAGAGGGGTTAAGGAGCATGCAGCGGCACCGGCCGCTGGGACACGTTCCTGCTACCGGGGTGCCAAGTGCCTGTCATCGTCCCATCCCCACAACGTAGTTGGTTCCACTTTCTGCCCCGCCCCGCCCCACCCTCCCGCCCCCACCTTGTTCATGAGGCTGGCGCTATCCACGGTGATCTTCTTGCCCATGGACCAGTTGGGGTGGCTGGTGGCCTGAGCCACCGTAACCTGGGGGGGGAGGCGGTAGGGCGGACAGGGGTAAGGAAACATACTCCAGGAGCTTAGCATGGGTGCCAGTGAGTACAATAATGGCCAGCGCACCTCCCTCCCGTCTGCATTCGTCCACCGCACCGCACCCCAGGGCCCCCCTTCCCCATTTCCCCCCGCACCTCCTTGAGCTTCTCCACGGGCCAGTCGCGGAAGGCTCCCCCGCTGGCCGTCAGGATGATGCGCCGCAACCCGCCCTCGGGCAGCCCCTGCATCACCTGCAGGGGGGGAGGGGGCGGAGGGCGGGAGGCAGGGGACGAGGAACAGGTGAAGAAGACAGCAGCGGAAACGGAAGTCATGGTACCGGTAAGAGTCGGCGTTGAGGGGCGACGACGGGTTGCAGGCAGTGCACTTGGGTCGCAGGCCCAAGCAATCCCCTATACGAGCTCAGGCCCGGCTATACTCCTTCACCCCCATCCTTCCCGCTCCCCGATCTGCCCCACCCCCCCCCCACCTGGAAGATGGCGCTGTGCTCGCTGTCCGCGGGCAGGATCTTGGCACCGTACTGCTGGGCCAGCGGCAGGATGAAGGGGCCGCCTGGGGGGCGGGGGGGGGGAGGGAGGGAACGTAAAAAGGAGCGGAGGGAGGGGCGCTAGTTTTCAGAACAGAGAGGGAAGCACGGGCATGGATACCCACACAGCACCTCGTTGATAACCCTCATGCAGCCCAACCCCCAGGCCGCCCCACCCGCGATCAGCGTCTCCTTGTTGGCCAGGCAGATGTCCTTCTTGGCCTTGATAGCGGCCACGGTGGGCAGCAGCCCGGCGCACCCCACGATACCCGTCACGACGGCCTGAGGGAGCAACGGGGTGGGGGCGGCGCGCACGCACACGGCTGTCACTACACAGCAGGTTGGACGTGCCATGCCTCAGCCTTAAGCTACAGGGCAGCGAGCACTCCCATGTCCCCGCAAGCCCCACACCGGACTCCCACCCCCGCCCCACCTCCGCCGCCGGGTGCCTGGCCACCTCCACGGCCCCCTCGTCCCCCGCCAGGATGACCGGCAGCTGCGGCAGGTCGCCCAGCGCCTCGCGCAGCGCCGGCACCTTGGCGGCGTCGCGGATGGCGACCATCTCGGGGCGGAACTTGCGGACCTGGGGAAGGGTTGGGCGGGGAGTGGGGGGAGATGTGTGGGAGGAGGGGTGGAGGTGAGGTGAGGGGGACATGAAGGGTAATGAGGAGGGCTGAGGTTGGCAGTGGAGGTAGCGATGTGGGTCGGGAGGCTGCTGAGTGCGTACGAGTGGTGGGACGCGACGAGGGGGTTGCGGCTTTGATTGGCGGCTGCGGAGTTATATCTTAGGACATGAAGGGGACTGGAGGCAGCGATGTGGGTCAGGAGGCTGCGGTACGGATGTGGGCCAGGGGACCGCGGCTTAGAGTGGTCATGCAACACGGCGACAGAGGCTTATGACATAGCTCCACGTCAAGGAGATAGCTCCAAGTCAAATGGGTCCGTGCTGAGATTTTCCCCAGAGCAGCTATGTGCCTATGGCATAGGCCACCGGAGCTGCCCTGCTGCGCTTGGCCTCAAGTTGGTTGCGACCCTCGCACGTCTGGGCTCCCTAGCACGATGCGCCACCTCTTCGCCCACCTAAGTCTAGATCACAGCTTATCCCACTCCTGTATGCCCTGTGGCTTCGCTACCTAGCAAAGGCAGATAATCACCGCGAAAGACCCGCATGTTAATGAGGCTGACGCGAGCTTCAAGGGGGCATCTTGGGGCCGTTGCCGTAGGGGAGCTTGAGGAGGTTGACGACTTACGTAAGTTCGTTAGCTATGCGAACTCTTCGGCCCCTGAAGAAAAGATGCCCCACCTGCTCTGCTAGGAGCTTAACGTTCGATCCGGCGGCCAGGGCCACCAGCTTGAACTTCTCCGGGAACTCCTCAATGATGTCCAGGGTTTGCGTGCCAATCGAGCCCGTCGAACCGAGAACCGAGAAGCGCTGCGATGCAATGAAGCAAGCAGGAGATGCAGGGCCAAGTTGAAGGCGTTAGGCGCAAGGTTGCTACCCTATCGGCGTTTGCAACCCAAATCGTTTTTCGCGGCCTTTCGCAACAAACCGATCAGATGAACTGAATCTTTAAGATCAGAAACGTCGAGAAAACACATATTGCGCAACAAATTGTTTCTTTCCCTAGTCCCGCGCACTTTGGGCTCGCCGCGGTGCTCGACCTCAGGCGGCACCACGCGCTGCGGCCAGGCTGGAGGAGGAGCCGCGCCAACCTGGGCACGGGCGACAACACGAGCCCTGCAAGGCCGTGCTAGACGCGCCCCCGTGCAGGGGGACGCCTGCATTTTAAGCTGCTGCGTTGCCTGCATGTTGTCAACCTAACGCACGCTTGACGCAGCAATGTTCCCCTTCAGGTTTACGCCTCTAGTATAACGGCTCTTGAACCTATCCGTCAGCTTGCCCTGTTGAATTGCGCGCGATGGCGAAAGCTGCTTCACTGTGCGTACGGCGTCAAATATGATCGTCACTGCCCCTTTTGCCGATGGCCATTCTCTATGGTGCTCACATATATCTTAGTAGGAACCTCTTCAAGGTATATAGCAGGGTAACTAACGACTTTACTTTGCATTTTTTATCAACTAGGCTGCGTTTGCCGCATATAGAGAGGCCTCCTTAACACCCTTGCTGCTTTTGAGATAGAAATACGCTTGCATGTCGTTAGTTATAGGAGGTCTTCGCAGCCGATGGTCGGCGCTGATAGGATTGCCACTGCGTGCCCCGCTGCCGCCAGCTGGGGCAAAGAAAGGCTCGAAAGATAAAGGTATGACGGCAGCTTGATGCTGCTTATTGACAAGCTCCAGTCGCGTGTGTCGGAAGTCGGAGTACACTTCCAGCCCCACCCCTGGCACCAGTGCCGCACCTGTGGCAGCGGGCCCACGGAGCCCCCTGGAGCTCTGCACTTCTGACATGCCAACACAGACTCCATGCCCCGTGTCTCCATGCTGCGATGTTCCTAGCACTGCCCCTTCCCACGCACGCACACGGAGCCCATGCATGGCCTGCTTTATCATGCATTTGAATTCGCCAGCCGCCCCGCTTGCCGTCCGAACCATACCCCCCAACCATACCCACTCCGCGGCCCGCCAGGTCCCCGCAAGGTTGGCGAGCTGTCATGTGAGGTGGTCACCGGATGCGGGCTGATGAAGAACGAGGCGGACCCGCCCATCAAGCCTGACAGCGAGTACCCGGAATGGCTCTTCAAGCTGCTTGAACCCAGGTGGGGTGGCTGCCTGCGGGGCGGCTGGTGGGGCAGGATGAGGAGCGGCACGGGCGCAGCATGGGCTGCAGCCTGGGGGGATGGCATAGGCAGAGCATGCAGGAGCCAGGTTTCCGCGCAGCTGCCGCCAACACGCCTGGCCCGCTCCTCCCTAAGCCTAATGCGTCGTTGTCATGCCCGACATACCCTCAAACACGCACCTGCAACCCTGTCCAAACGCGCCCACCTGCCTGTCTGCCCGCCCGCCTGTCAGGCCGACCATCAAGGAGCTCGAGAAGGCGTACCAGGAGGGCGGCCTAACCATTCCGGAGGTGCGTTCGTCTGTCCCGGGGACCTGGGCCTGGTTGGGTGGGCGGTCTTCCAGGAGAGGCGCAGAAGAGCGGCACGGTAGCGGGATTCCCATGTGTGTTTCTTCCGTACTCAGCATGATGACCCGCATGTGGCCCCTGCCCTCCGGGCGCTCCCATTCCCTTCCCAGCTACGTCGACTGTGGCGGCTGAAGAACAAGGCGCGCATCAAGGAGTCCAACTTCCTGAAGGCCAAGTGATGAGGGGTGGACAGGCGATGATGATGATGATGATGAGGAGGAGGAGGAGGTTGTCGCTCTGCATTGTGCATCAATAGCGCTAGGAGGCATGGAGGAGGGGCCCTGGCGGTTGCAATTGGAGGCGGGCGTGAGGGGGGATTTAAGGGGAGGGAAGGGATTGTGTGATGGGTGTTTCGGTGGTGGACGGGCAGATGGATGGCTGGCCTAGCAGGGAGTATAGCTTGGGGCCGTGAGACCGCAACCGGACTACGTACATGGTGCTAACACGTGAAGGAGCTGGCTTAAAAGGGCTTCTATTATTCGAATCCGTATCTCCGTGTATGGGAGCCTAGGCTTTAGGTGCTACGCGTGCTGTGGACAAGCGCTTGCTTGGTGGTCGTGGGTTCACGAGGAGCGGACGTTGCGGTCGCTTTTAGCCTACGAAGCGTTGGAAGACTGCGGCCCGTTCCTGCGGTGCCTGGGTTGGTGCCTGCATGGGCGTATGGCAGCGGGGCTGAGGGGCTTGCAGCCGGACTGTCACGTGCGTCTCATGTTTCAGGTCGGCAAACAGGATCATGTGCGTCTGCCTTTACGCTATGGGCTATGTCCCCGGAAGTACGGACTCGAGCGCCGGGAATGTCGGGAGGCGAGCACCTGCCTTGTACGACAGTTGGTTTGGTGAGGCAAGTAGTGATAAGCGAGCGTTGGATTCTGTAGTACGCAAGGCCGCCTGCTCCGGAATCCCGTTATGGTCAGCTGGGTTAGGCTCGGGCCCGCGAACCATACACAGCTGAACTGCATGCGTGCGTAGGAGGTGACCTTACCAACCTCGCGACTGTAATCCACTCTAAAGTGGCTAATTACATTTATTTTACCACTCCTGAGCAAGGGCTCTCAGTCTAGCGTCGACACAGTACTGCGACGAACGACCGGTTGCGGCAGCGCCATTCCCAAATCTACAACTAGAAGAAGTGGAAGTATAGCTGGCGGGTAAGCGTTTGCCATTTCCGGTATGCTTAGATTGTCCATCGCCAGCTGTCAGTCGCCAAGCGTATGTTGCATCTCTTGATTACGGTAGTTACACCGCGTCAGCGCTCAAGCGTTCTGTTGACAATTCACTTGATGCCTCTAATTCACGGCGTGCGGTAATTCCTATAATCTACGCCCCGGATTCAACTTTCCTTCAAAGTGCATATCGCAGACCAATGGGTCCCGGCATTCCATCCAGGAAACCAGTATGTCTGTAAGCGGAGGTAGCCAAAGAGGCGGCGCGTTAGTCTCTGCCAATGAAACTTCCCCGGATCATCCGCGCTTGGGCGTCGCTGCTTCAGATGCGTCCATGAACGCCGCAAACTCCAAGGCGCTCACCGCTACGGATGGTGAGCGAAGTAGAAATGCTAGGAAACAACCCTTTTTGCAAGTCCTCAGCAAGCTTTGCATACCAGGCTTAGGAAGCACGAGCACGGTGCGCGCCAACCGTCACACACCCATGCCGCCTGCGCTGCCGATGTCCGTGCGCCCTGCAGTTGACCGCGGCGTCTTCACGACCGCTCTGCCCATGCGCGAGCGGCCCAACGGCGTCTTCGCTGCGCTGTGTGAGGAGTTGGGAGAGGAGATGGCCAAGACGGGGGCGAAGCGAGCGCAGGCTGGCGTCACGCTTCGGGACCCCGCGGCGGACAAGACATTCGAGGTCAGGCCTAAACGGTCATTTGCCTATTCAACGCTTCAACCGCTTGTCTTTTCACCACCAACTTAACCAGTAGGCTTCCGGCGACGAGCAACGACCACGGCATCACCATACCTGTCGTACGACCCTTCCTGAGTCCTGCCGCACAACCCTTCCTGCGATGCACCCCACCTCCTGCTGCATGTGCACGCGCATGCTTGCATGCCTACCCCCCCCCCCCCCATGCAGGTCACCGCGATGCTTACTGACAAGGACCATGGCACGCTGCGCCTCATCGGCATGAAGCCCCTGCTGGAGCACTTGAAGGGGCGCTGCGGAAGGTGCCAGGCGGGGGACGTGCTGGGCTTCTCCGCGGCAGGCGAGGGGAGGGAACAGCAGCAGCAGCAGCAGCTCACAGCCTATGACGTACGGCTGCAACGTCGTGGCGGCAAAGGAGGGACGGCGAGCGCATCAGGAAACGGCGGCCAGCAGCAGCCCGGTGGTGGTGTTAGAGCAGCAGCTGCTGCTGCAGTAGCCGCGGCAACTGCTGCCACTGCCGCAAGCAACGGTACGGCAACCGCGGACCTTCCGGCGCCAGGGCAACACCAACAGCAACGGCAAAAGGTGCCACAGCAACAACAGCAGCAGCAGCAACAACCCAACCAGCGGCAGCATCAGCAGCCGGCAGCCACACCACTACCACCACCACTACCACCAGCAGCTAACGACCCCGCAGCCGCAGCCGGCCCCAGCACCCGCATGCAGGTTCCTGTACTGCACACTGGGAGCGGACAGCTCCCGGCCGGCCGCAGCAGCAGGCCCCGGGGACGGCCAGCTGCGGTGTCAACACCTGCTGCCGCGACGGGTATCCCAGGAACCGTCATGACGGCCGGAGGAGTCATGGTGGGTGCCCCACCACCAGCAGCGGCCCCAGCAGCAGCCCCAGCACATGGCACGCCGGCAGCGGCCCGGGCGCCCGCCGCGCGCGGTGGCGCTGCTGTAGCAGCTCCAGCCGCAGCCGCAGCCCCAGGCGGCAGGCGGGGGCACGCTGCCCCACATGTCAATGAGGTCCCATGCAACGACAGCGGAGGCGGAAGAGGCAGCTCCGAAGCCGCCGGCAGTCGAATGGTTATCCCGCGGGACATGCTGTCTGCCGTGCTGCGGGCGCTGGAAGGGGACGAGGCGGTGGCGGAGGTGACGCTGACGGTGGGGGAGCGGGGGGGAGTAGGGCAGCGGCTCGCTTTCCGGCGCGACCCGAGTGGTGGCAGCGCCCGGTACTGCCTGCAGCTGCAGCCCGGGAGCAGTAATCGGCAGGAAGGGGAGGGTGAGCAGGAGCAGGAGGAGGAGGAGCAGGAGGATGGGTATGGCACTCCGAATCGTCGTGATAACGACAGGCAGGGTGGGCAAGGAGACGAGCAGCAACAACACACGCAGCAGCGAGGAGACCAGCAGCGGCGGCAGGGGCAGCAGCAGCAGCCGGGGCAGCGGCAGCCGGGGCAGGAGGAGGAGGAGGAGCAACGGGCGGTTGCGTCAGGAGGAGATGATGACGATGCAGCCCAGGGCCTTTCTCTTCCGGTCGCTCAGAGGACCGGTAGCCGTCAGCGCCCAGCCGCTCTCCAACTCCCTGCCGCTCTCCAACTCCCGACAAGGCCTGGCGACGGGGGGACTGAAGGGCGCGCCGCAGTTGCTAGGATTGCTGGTGGCGCTGCTGTTGTGGCAGCGGCTGAGGGATTGAATGCCACTGCAGCTACTGCGGCTACCGCTACTGCTGCTGCTGCTGCAGCAGCATGGGGAGCAGCAGCAGGGGGTGCCACGCCAGCTGCAGGCCCCGCATCCTTAGCGGCAGCAGCTCCTGTTGCAGCACTCGGGCAGCACAACCATCACCATCAGCAGCAACACGCCGCAGCTTCTAGCAACAGCGCCGCTGCTACCTCGGACCTCTCCGCGAGTGCCGCTTCCTACGAAGCAGCAGCTGACGCAGCAGCTGCAGCAGCAGCAGCAGCGGCAGCGGCAGCGCCCCCGGTAGGCCCCATGCTGTCGAGCCTTGCTGCTGCTGCTGCTGCTGCAGGGGAAGGTGAAGCCCAGCTGCCTCCAGCAACCGGTAGAGCTGCTGCTGCGGATGCAGCTCTTGCTGCTGCTGCGGGAAGGCAGTGGAAGCGGCCGGGGCTCCAGCCACCCTGCTTACAACAGGAACGCGTGAGGAGCAGCCATGCAGCAGCACCGCTGTCCGCACCCGCAGCAGCACCACCAGCAGCAGCAACCCTAGCTGCCACCGCCACGACAGCACCACACCGACAGCTACCGGGTCCGGCGCCAGCGGAGCCCTCCCGTCCAGCAGGACCCAGTACGACAGTCCCGTTGCCGTGCAACGCCGCCGCCGCCGCCGTTCTGCCTGCCCGCATCAGCCCCTGTGGCCCTGGATCACCTGGCCGGGAGAGGGGGCCGCAGGCGGATGAAGCCTTACGTGACACGCTCGTTCAGCGGGTGCTGGCCATGTGCCAGACGGCGCAGCAGCAGCAGCCAGGGGGGACAAGCGGCGCCGCAGCCACCACGCTCACAGCAGCAACACGTATCATCACCGGTACCCTCCAGCCAGCAGCAACAGCGGCAGCAGCAGCAGCAGCAGCGAGGAACACGGGGTTGCTTCGCACCGCTGCTGCCCAGGGTGCCTTGCATGGGGACTATAGCGGAGGCGTAGGTGGAGGAAGAGGTGGTGGAGGACCGCAGGACGTCCGCCTGGGCTTGGTTGGTGGCGTTGGAGTGCGTTCGACGTTCGGTGACGTGGGCAACAACGCAAGGGGAGGGCAGGCGCATGCGGCGGCGGCAGCACCGGCTGGCGCCTCTCCGGCCGCAGCTGCTGGGGGGTCGCCTGGGAGCCATGCAGCAGGCAGGTGGGATGCGAGGTGGGGTGCCGCCGCTGCTGCTGCTGCAGCGGGTGACGGACTGGCCGGCCTGGAGCCCACAGTGCTCCTGGACGGCGGAGACTCCTCCCGGGATGGGGATGGGGATGACGGTGGCGGCTGCAGCAGCGAAGGGGTTGAGGCGGTGGCGGGACGTGCCCCGGGGCCCACTAGCAGGCGGCAGCAGGTCACACCGCGCCGGCAGCCCGGGGGGTCCCCGCAGTTCCCCCGGGAGCACTGCCAGCTGCTGTCACCAGATGATGAGGCGGCGCCGTACCACCTGCAGGCGTCCGAGGGGGTGTTGCAGCAGCAGGCGCCCAGCTCGCCGTTGCGGCAACCCCGCTGGGAGGCTTCTTTGCTTCCGCCGCCGGGTAGCGCTGCTGTGAAGGCAACTAGCAGTCAGCAGCTGGGTGGTGGTGGCGGTGGTGGTGGCGGCGGAGCTGGCCTGCCCCCGGCGCTGGGAGCAGTACCGCAGAGGCTGCTGATGCGATCAGCGGTGGCGGCGGCGGCGGGGTCTGTGCTGGCGCAGCACCCGCCGCAGCAACCTGAGTTGCAAGCCCCATCGTCACCGACGGCAGCGGCAAATGCGGCAGCGGGCGAGCAGCAACAGCAGCAGCAGCAGCAGCGGCGGCGGAGGTACGATGTGGCACAGCAGCGCGCGCAGGTACCGGTGCTACAACAACATCAACAGTCTAAGCAGCTGCAGCTGCCCACTCCGGCGCTGCTAGCTGCTGATCGCAGGGTCGCGCCGCAAGGAGGGCCGCACCAGGCGGTGCGGGTCCTGGGGCCGCCGCTGCCTCCGCAACGGCATGCTGCGGTGCAGCAGCAGCAACGACTGCCACATCAGCAGCAGCAACTCCAGCTAGGTGGGCTAGGACTGCATCCGCAGCAGCAGCAAGAGCAGCAGCAGCAACCGCAGCTGCAGCAGCCAGACGTGCAGCTGAACGCCTTGTCACATCAACCCCACGCAACCCCAGTGCAGCAGGCGCCGCTGCCCTCCCGCCCTCCACGCGATCCACCACCGCCCGCCGCATCCCACCACCGCACCCCTCACCTTCAGCACGAAGGCCAGCCCACCCCAGCGCAGCAGCCGCAGGTAGCTCAGCCGGAGCCGCTGCAGCATGTGCCGCTGCAGCACGCACCGCGTGGCCTTTGTGGCTGGCCGTTGAGCGCTGACGTGGCCGCCGACTGCCTGCCTGCGCTGGCGCCGGGCGAGGTGCGGCTGTGCGGCCTCACCTTCAGCCCAGACCTGGCACCGGCTGTGAGGGGATTGCTTAACGAGCAGTCCCAA